ACAGCTACTTGTAGAATTTGTTACAACAAGCTGTTTCTAAATCCCACACAAAAGAGAACTAGAAATGTTCCTGAACCATCTCAAATAACACACAGAGAGCTAAGGCATCCAACCACCTCTTTTCACAATGGCTGTAGAAAAACTTATTCCAGGTTTCACCTCTGTAACTCTACAGCTAATACCAGGTTCTACTCCACACTGATCATGACTTAATGTCTTAATTTTTGACGTGTAGCTTGTCTGGGAGCTGGACCTGGCAACAATTTTGGTATACTTTGAATTTACTTGAAGTCTAATTCTTTTTCTTAATGCAAAAAAGTGGGAGGGTTTTTTTGGTTGGGATTTGGTGGTGATGTGGGTTTTTTTTGGGGGGGTGGGGAGTTGGGGTTTTATTTGTTTCTTAGTTTAGTTGGTTGGAGGGGGGGGGGTTGATTGGTTTGGTTTGGGTTTTTCTATTTGTTTCTTTGGTTTTAGTCAAAAAGCAGAAAGTCAAAAGTTACAAACCAGAGGGAAAAAACCCCACAGAAACCAAACTCTTCTAAATACTGTCCTACATATATTTCATACAGAATGTTATGCTAAACATAGAAGTGCTTCTCAGGAAGGAGTGAAACTATCCATCCTGTTATTTAACACAAACTCTATAGAACAATTCCAGACCCAGGATGACAGCCCTGCCTGATACACAGAGCAGTCATAAATAAATCTCAAGTCCAGTGGCACATGATAGTCAGCACCAGGGAACGGGATTTTCCTAGGAAAGTGTTCTGACACGAGTAGGTTCAGTTTGCTGTTCCTTAAGGGCATTTCTGCTTTAAGTAACCAGAACCAAGCGAACCCATTTGCATAATATCAACTTCTGCTTTGCCTGGGACAAGGCCTTTATTGTAGAATATCTTGAAAGGTGATTTTTTCCTATTCATCTGTACACTGACAGAATCAGAGAGTGACAAGTATTGAATTAATCATTATTGCTTGAAGGGGTTTTATCACATTTTAGAGAGAAGGAAGCATGATGTCCAAGTTATTTTCATGTCTTCAAACAAAAAGATACAATGTAAAAAAAATTAAATAAAAATTCACATCACAAGTATATTCATTTCACGTACAATCAGCCAATAATACTGATATCAGGTTACTTCATTTGGCAAGAGGAAAATAGAAGAGCATCCAATAGTTCTGGCATCTTGGTATTAATTTAAAAATACTGAGAGCTGGTTCATTACAAATAGAGTGAAACTTCTCAGGTGTTTGCTCAAGTGTGGTAACTGATTTTCATAATGCCACGGATCCAACCAGAGGTGAGACTCCCACAGATGGACAGGAAGTTATAGTTACACTTCACATGCTTTATTTGCATATATAATAACACAGCGACTCAAGAAGCCATGCACAGGAACACCTGGTCGAGCTCGTTAACACAGCGAACCTTTGCAAACGTGGAAGTTCAGGAGCTGCCCAAATCCCACCCAGGAACACGCCTGACCAAAGCAGCTGTGCCAGCGGGGGAAATGGCACAAGGGGACTCGGGGCAGATACAGCTCCCGGTGCTTTCTGGTACTGCAGCTGCCGAAGTTCACCAGCACTCCAGGGGCAGCTCTGCCACACAGCCAGGGCCGCCTCCCAGAGCCTGAGCCCAGGGAGGTCCCAGCTCTGGTGAGCTTAGTTCCCTCCTGCAGCCACTGAGGAACGCCAGGGAATCGCCTTCCCCACCTCTGTGAGTTCCTGTGCAGCACACAGCGTTCCTCAGCCGTGGAAGCATCTGGTGCACAGCTGGATGTCACGAGGTCTGGCCACCCCTACAGCCAAACTGACAAACTTCACTCGATTTCTAGTCCAAGGTTTCCTTAACAGAAACACCGTCAGCTCTCTTATCTGTATCACAAATAAGACTACCAAAAGCAAAGTTTTCAGTAGTCCTGCTTCAGTCTTACACTTCAAATTCCTCAAAGTAACTGGTATTTTAAGACCGTACAATCTTGTGACATAAAATTAATAACTTGAATTCTATTTCAACACTATATAAGCGCCACAAAACTAACTGCCATAATTCATAGATGACCTTAATTTTTTAAAAAACCAAGATGATAGACTCTCCTTGCGTAAGAAAAATAAAGCCACTCAGATTGTGAGTGTTACTGGCTGCACAGCAGAGGCCAGTGGATCTGAAAAGCCAGATTAGCATTGGCTAATACCAGTCAAGGTCTTGTCTTGGACAAAGACACTTAGTTTTTCATTATGTCTGACGTGGTAACAAGATCAATAGTTCTCGACTAATTCATTAACTGGATAACACTGTCTCTTTAAATTTCATTTTTTTAACAAAAACATCGTGTTTCTAAGCTCCCCTGTGTCACATACTTGCTTTATTTAAGGGAAAAGTCTGCAACACATTTGGTAATTGTTAACCAAAGGGATGTCAGAACTTCAAAATTCTTTAGGAAATCCAGTAAAATAACTAGTTACAAAATACCAATTCATATTCTCAATCTCGTGTTAAAAAATGCACTTAAAACATTTGCCTGTGAGCAAACAGCAAATCTCAACAGCAAATATCACTGAGGCTGATGCAAAGACAACATTCAGTCACAATTCAACACCAGCAGACTACGGGGAAAAGCTGAACTTTAAGGGGAATGAACACCTGCAGTACAACTGTAACATAAAATTCAAACTAACAACACACATCAGACTGATGTCTCTAAAATATACAGACTTAATTCTCTTAATATATCTAAGTAGTTCAAATAAACCATACTACAACCCTCAGACAACCTTTGGCTGGATGAAGATGGGTCTGTGTATTAGACTGAGTTTTAAGTGTCTTGTTTTCCTTAACGAAACCAGCCTGCTATAATCAAGAATTACTGACATCCTAAACTGGATTTCAGAAGGTCAGGGAGAAAACCAGTTTCCATTTAACTGTTACAGAAATGGTATCTGCCAGGAATCAGGTTCCCAGGCGGCCCAGGTGACTGCACAGGGGTGCAGCAACTCACCTACACAGCAGAAGCAAAGCTCAGAGGGAAGCCACTTGCACAATAACTGCTCAGACTTTGCTGCAAGCTCACAGATAAACACACACCCCACCTGCAGCACACCCAGAGCACACACGGTGCCAGCTGGGTGGGAATCCGGGCAGCCCAGCCCAGACATCTTCTAAGGACACCCTGCTCCGGCCACCGAAAATTTATCTTACCCACACTTATAAAGCAGAAAACAGCTGCAACTGATGGGCTTTTTAAGTGTGGAAGAGAATAACTTGAGGAAACTCACACTAGGTATTGCAGCAGATCGCTTGCTTATTAAAATAAATCAGAAAAGTCGCTTCCCAAAAAAGGGCTGTTATTTCAGACAAAACCAGCGGCTGATTTACTGCTCATCCCCTTTATGGCAGCTCAGGTGGGCCTGAGCTGCAGAAGCTGTGCTGGCAGAGCGAGTCTCCAGAATTATTTTTTACTATTTTTACACTTTCTGCCTCAAGAAATACCAGGTAGAGGGGAAGAAAACTTTCTTCCTCGTTCCTCACTAAGGGAGGACACAGCGTTCCCACACAAAACAGACCAGCCACGTCTGACTCTGCCAAAGAATAGCTTTGTTTGGTGACTCCCGGCTTAAATTCACGTTGGCTCATCTAAAATAAATCTCCATTCCGGTCACATTTAAACGCGCTGGCGTGGGTCCACACCACAGAATAAATAAATAAACAAACAAAGCTGCATTATCATCTGGCTGCGGGGACTGGCAACAATTAGCGCACATTACGTGAGATTAGATACAACATCACGATCGCATTGTTTGCTTGGTGTTTAAAAGCAAATCGACCGAAACAGTCTTAAGTTGCTCAGTGCTTGTTTAACACCACGAACATCCGCACCGGGAGCCAGAAGGGCTGTTCTAACTCAGCCTTATCGCCTTAAGACTTCGTATAACCACTTTTACATCTACAGAGCCTTCAGAAGCACCTTGGTGAGCACTTAAAGCCTTCAGAACCGCGTTTATGAGCATTTAAAGGAACGCTGCTCAGATCGCCGTACTTTTAACTCGGCATGCCGCTAATTTTTGTGATGGGGCCGCAACAGCCCTGAAGAACGAGTGATTAAAGCCTTGCGTGCTTTAATCCATTAGCGTGAGGGAAATAAAGAGAGGGGAAGGAAGGGGAAAGGGAAGGGGAAAGGGAAGGGGAAAAGGAAGGGGAAAGGGAAGTGCGGCGCCCCCGCCCGCGGCGATACCTCCTTGTCGGGCACCCAGGGCGGCTCGTCGAGGCCGAAGGGGCTGCGGGCAGAGCGGTGCTCGGGCACCATGCGCAGCCCGCTCGGGGACCGCACCAGCTTCTTGGCGTCGCCGCCCGACATCTTCCCCCGCCGCCGCCGCTCGGCCGGGGAAGGGGACGGCGTTCGGCCAATGGCGACGCGGATCCGCGGGACTGGCACGGCGCTCGGCCAATGGAAAGAGCAAACTGCCGGCGCCCCGCCTACCCGCGCTGAGCTCCCCAGCCAATCGCCTGCCGCTTGGGGGTTTGAGGCGGGAGTGTTGTCCTCGCCCCGCCCCTTCGGCGCCGCAACCCGGAAGCGAAGCGCGGGGGCGCCTCAGCCGCGCCCCCCGAGTTCCGCGTTGGAGGAGGCGCCGCAGCCGCTCCCCAGGCGGCCGGGTGGGCCGGGGGCGAGCTCGGCTCCCGCGGCTCCGGCGAGGGACCGCGGTGGTGCAGCACGGCCCGTCCGGGGCTCCGGGCACGCTTCGGCCCCGCGGAACGGCGGCAAGCAGCACTCTCCCATTGGCTACCCCGCCGGGGCGGCCGCTCGGGGGAGTTTTGATTGGCCCGCGGCGGGCGAGCTGCTCGCTGATTGGCTGCGGGGGTGCGTGACGAGTGAGGGCGGGCAGGTGTCGCAGTCGGTCCCCGTGTCCGTCCGTGTGTCCTTCCGCCTGTCAGTGTGTGCACCGCGCTCCCCGCCCGGGCCAGGCCCCTGGGACACCCGCGGGACACCCCTGGGACACCCGTGGGACACCCGTGGCTGCTCCGTGACCCGCTCCCGGTGTTCCCCTCTCCCCGGTGCCTCATCAGTGCGAGCGGAGCGTGCGCGATGTTTTGGAGCCCCTCAGTCAAGGGTCGTCGTAACCATGTTTGGCTTCAGTAAGTCTCGGCTTCTAACCCTTGTCAGAATGTTACTTTAAATAGGACTTGCTTCAGAGTAACTGTTTCTTCGCATGTGTTTGGTCTGCCATCAGCATCCGTCACAGCTTCTCCTGCCCATGTTGGAAAAGGGGTTGTTCATAAAGTCATATACTCTCACATAACTCCTGGGAGTTATGAGGGAGTGTCTGCCGCTATCCCTCATAAACATTATCAGAATAATACTGAGAACCTCACAGTACTCTTATAGGCACCCAGGGTGTTGTGTTTTAGACCAAAATATTAAAAGAGCTGTTTAATGTTGTTACAAGAAACAGACAGATTTTAACATTTTGATATTAAATTTTCTTTTAGCTAATAAGTGCGTATTTGACTGTCCAATGCATGAGTAGTCTTGGGTCATCCCAAATTGCACATGTGAGGATTTTTTTCTGTTTGAGAATGAAAAGCTCCTATGGAGAGTGTCAGATGGTGGTGCAGTGTATTTGCAAGCCTCAGAGCCAAAGCACTGCGCAGAAGCACAGGCAGTTAAAATTACCAGTGGTTCGAACTGCAGGGTTATTAGTTGAACTCTTGAGTAGGATATGTGTAAACAGCCATCTGAGAAGACTTCTGCCAGTGGGCTGAATCATGGAATCATTAGGGTTGGAAGGGACCCCTGGAGATCACCCAGGCCAGCCCTGCTGCCAAGGCAGGGTCACCTGCAGCAGGTGATACAGGAATGCGTCCAGGTGGCTTTGGAACGTCTCCAGAGAGGGAGACTCCACGACCTCCCTGGGCAGCCTGTTCCAGTGCTCTGCCACCCTCAACGTAAAGAAGTTCTTCCTCGTGCTGAGGTGGAACTTTTTGTGTTTTACTTCATGGCCATTGCTCCTCATCCTGTCACTGGGCACCACTGAAAAGGGTCTGGGCCCATCCTCTGACACCCACCCTTGAGATATTTGTGTGCCTAAACAGGCCCAGCTCCCAGTCTCCCCTTGTAAGAGAGATGCCAGAATAATTGTTACTTCTCTAAGATAACTGTTATATACATTGTTTAAAAAAAAAAAAAAAGGTCCTAGAAACTTTTGACACTGATTTATGCTTAATTTTTTCTTGCATGTGTGTGCAGCAAAAGCTGCTTTAATCACAGATAATCACGTGATGCTCTGCTTGTCGCTCTGCTGTGTTGGGAAATGGATTGGGACCAGTTTGACTTGAACCCTAGAACAGTTGCTGCACTGAAGAAAGGTAACTTACTTTGCCAAAGTCTCACTAACAGATCTGCCACTACAGTATCTTCCTTCGTCCAGCTGCCTGTCTGTGGGTGCAAGCCTGTAGATGGACACTAACACTTCAGAACTATAATTAAGTATTTAATAAACAATTTTTTGAGTAATTAGAAGTAAGGCCTTTTGCCCATGCTGCAGTAATCATCTTCCAAGCAATTTTGTAGCAGGTGTTGATACATTCCAGGTGAGTGTTGCCTGCCCACCTTCAAAGAATGCAGCGTAGATAAACTTTAGGCAAATGAGTGGTAGAAATTGGGAAAACTTTTCTGTGTTCAGACTGCGATCCAGCCAAAAGTATTTATAAAAATTCTTCTGGTTTCAGCTGACATTAAATCAGTAAAAGAGATCTTAAACCTTTCTGGAGCAGACTTGCAAAGACTGATGAAGCTCCCCAGCACAGACATACAGTGCCTGCTGACAACAGTCTCTCGCTCGCTGAGGAGGAACAGCATGGTCACAGGTGATGTAGTCGGTGCAAAAAAGGTGTTCTGTTTAAAACTTAAAATAAGCGTCACCAGGGGAAAAAATGGTTCTGGCTCCTCGCTGACAGTAGTGTGGTTTAAAAATGAAAATGCAAATGCTTTTATTGTGCCATAGGGAATTATTTAACTATCCTAAGGACAGCTCCCTGGAGACCTGGGAGGAAATGGAAATGGAGGGGTGTCGTTCTTCAGGATCCAACCTGCTTAAAACAGGACAAAATGATTCTCCAGCCTGAAAAACTTAATTAGAGGAACAAGATATTTCCTTTTTCTTTCATGTGCTCATTCTCCCTCACCATTTTCTGTTTGGACTAAGACTAGTTGCAAAACTTATGTATTCAAAGCTGCATAAACTGATTTGGTAAAAACACCTCATTCCAAATCAAGCAGGACATAATAGTTCTTCCTGTACAAATGCTTCATGACAGCTCTGTGCTTAAGATTTATTTTCTTGTGATTGCATATGTCTTTAGGCCTTGGCCAGGTGCCTGCTGTGCTGTCTTATACTCTGCTATAGCTTTCCATTTCCATAATTGCTGGCCTTGATCCTTGCTGTCAGTGTTTTCCCAGAGTGTAGCTTTCCATAGAGACACCTTGGAGGCAGAGAAAGGGAAAAAAGATTGAGAGGAGGAAAAGGGCTCATTGTAAATTACCAGTTTTTGGAACAGACATTCAGTAGTTGCTTTGTGGGGAGAGGAAACTGGAGAAGACCATCCTGACTTAAGAAAATTTTCCATCAACAAAGAAAGCATCCCTTGTAGATATAAACCCTATAGACAGCCTCTATTTTGTATTATTTGTCTGTTAGAAAGATAATAAATGAAACTCTTTTTTTTTCTTTCTTTCCTTTTCTTTTTTAAACTTTTAAAAAAAAAATCCCAAACACTGCAGCACTTCAGCTCTACCAAGATAAAGATCATCTCACCTCCCAAAGCCAGAAGCTGAGCCTGGGATGTTCAGTGCTGGATAACTTGTTAAAAGGTGGCATTCCTTTAGTGGGAATCACAGAGCTGGCTGGGGAAAGTTCTGCTGGGAAGACTCAGATTAGTTTACAGCTGTGCCTGTGTGTGCAGTATCCCTACAAATATGGTGGATTAGAGTCTGGTAAGTGCTGAAATGTAAATACTGATTAATTTGCCATTTGCAGGAATACACTGTCTTTAAGAACATCGTTGAAGTAGATGCACGTGTTCAGTAATAAGTCAGTCAGTGAGTAATGCACCTTTGCAGAGAGTAGGACATGCTGTGCACATGTCCTGCAGCACAGGATAATTTAATTCAAAATTCCTGTTGGCTGCTGTTTGCCTGCCTGCCACGCTGGGTTAAACCAAACACACTCAAACAGTGTAAGAACAGTATTGCTGTCATGAGTACCCACTGAGGTAGCAACCTCAGCAAAACAGCTGCACAGGGAATTTTCCACAAACATCTTGGGGTACATGGGATGTATTCCCTAGCTGGAGTTTTGAAATTTCAAAGAGTATTTTGTTAGATAAACAGTAACTATAGTGATTTACAGAATAAAATTGATGGAAATGTAATTGACGGAAGGCAACATTGTTCTGTAGCTGTGACGTTCCTGGATTTGCCAAAGTGATGTCTTTAAGCAGAATTCTAAATATGCAGGTTTATTCTTTGAGTATATTTTTCCTCTTCTATCACACTGATCTCACTCCTAATTTATTTTATTAATTTTTTTTTACTTTTCTATGGTGCTGTAGAAACAGAGGAAACTTGTGTCCCTTCTGAGAGTTTGGTGTCCTGGTAGTCTGCCTTAGGTGTGTTTTCTCTGTGACTTTCTCTATGCCTTCCATGCAGCACTGGCTTTATTTGGCAGCTCAGTGGTTTGTTGTGGGGAAACTTAATAATTTCTTGAACTATATCCACCCATGTGGAAAAATCATGGAATGCAGAAATTAAGATTTTGCTTAAAGGGCCACAATTAGCCCCTGGCTTCCATTACTCTAAGTTATGTCATTAATCAGAAGGAAGTATATTTTGTTGGATACCTTTGTGTGGTGCTGCCAACTGCTGCAAATAGGATGCAAATACGTTTTTATTCCTGCTCCAGCACTTCTCCCTGTTTATGTTGAAATAAAGGAACAAACCAGAATGAGGTACAGAAGAAGGTGCCCAACATCCTAATGGCACTCTGGTCTCTTGCTTGTAGGGCTGCAGGATGGCAAGTCTTTTCATTGTTTGTGTTTGAAGGTCATCCTGATTTTTATGCCCCAGGAACTCGGTGCTGTTACATTTGCTTTGTCGTGTCTGTGTTCCCCATCTACCTGCTCCTGAGTGCTTCTTGGAAGGTAGGATAGAATGGAGAACCAGAACATTTTGGAGGGCTCAGAGGACAGAACTTGAAGGTCTAGAAGGTGGAAATACCCTGTTGCTGGACTTGGAGAGCTAAGGATGAGGTGGAATCTTAATTCTAGTCGTTCTTTATTCACAGTGGGGTATCTTGCCATCTGTTAGGCTGCACGCAGCCATAGCAGCAGATGCTGTTTGCAAAGCACTTAAAAAACGAAACTTGATGTCTTTGCAGTCTGTAAATAAGGGTTGTGTTGAGTCTCTGATGGGAAATACCAAAAATTAAAGCTTATGTTAAATATGAGGAGTTTTATCCTTTAGGAAACTTGGGGAGAACGGCACTGCTTAGAAACTCTCACAGAGCTCTAGCACTACCAGTAGAGGATTGATCTCAGTACTAGTGGCTTGTATGTTTTTTACTGCTTAGAAACTTCCCTTTTCTTAAGTGGTGATGTTGAAATACCTGTCTTTAAACAGTATGGATTTATTCTGCATTTACTTCATTTGACTTAGTGCTATTCTTGTTTATAATTCCCAGTGCTAGGAGGGTGGCAGCAAAGAAATCCTGAAAGTAAACAAAGGTATCCTTTGCCTCCAGGGTATCTTTCTGCCATTCCAGGAATGTCAGTTGCGTTCAGTTGCATATTGGCTGAATTTATTTTATACGCCCATATTCATAAGTAATGCATGAATATAATGGGACAAATTAATATTCATATTGGAATTCTGAATTAGAAAACTGTGTTTGCTACTGATTCTTGCTAACAAGCTGGCTTGGTGCATGAAAGATTATATTCATAGGAATCAAAACTTGTCCTTTTGGGGGGATGAGGTTTTCAGTGGTTTTTGGTTTTGTTTGATTGATTTTTGGGGGGTGCTTTTTGTCAACGTAGCACATTTGTTGGCCTGAATAACAGATTTGATGAAATAGTTGACCTGTTTGTTTTTTGTGGAGGAAAAATGTTTAGGTGATCACTGACTGACTCCTTAAGAGTCTCTGTCAGCTTATTTCTCAAAAGTGGTAACTACCCTGACTCTTGACTTGCAGCTTCCTAATAATCTGCAAATAGCACGATGCCACAGGCTTTTCTGTTTGTGTTGTACAACTCCCCCCTTTTATTTGGGTCATGACAACTCACTTATCTTTAAAGATATGTGGCTGTTAAGTGCTTTTGCCTCGTAATTAGGCATTGGTCTTCAATATTGAATTTAGTAATTTACCAATATCTTGTAGCTCTACAAAACTAAACTGAGGTAGGAAATACTCTATGAAGCAGAACTGTTCTTAAGGAAGAATTAATTTTATTTTTTTTTACAAATGTTTAGCTAAAAAAAAAATTACCTGAATAACTCTGTTCATGTGAACTTTAAAATTCCTTTCACAAAATTTAAAATTCCTTCCCCGAACCCATCGTAAATTCACATGTAAACACCATTCACATGTGAATTTTCAGTGGGTTTGGGGAAAGTTAAGATGAAGGAGCAGTTTTAGTCATAAAATAAATTGGGCTTAGACTCATCTTTGTCTCATATAGAAAATTCTCAGGATTCAGTACCCTGTCTTATATAGGTGTCTGTCAGCAAAATATTTTTATTGATATAATAACCATTAATTTTTATTTGATCTGGTCCTGAGATCTTTCTGTTTCCACTATTGGATATAGTTTCTTATTTTTTTCAGTGGACTGTGTAGAGGATTTGGACGTTGCATCTGGAAATGGGACTTGGCACTTCCTGGAGAGGCCGTGTAGGGATGTACCTTTGGGGTGGGAATGTTCAGGATGTCTCATATTGCTAAACACATCACCTGCCAGGGCTGTGTTAGCAGCTCCAGCCACTTCAGTGAGTGGGCTTAATCCTTGGATGTAGCCCTCTAAGCCTTAGCTGTTAACTCTGATCAGTTCTGCAATAACGATGACAGTTTTTTGTGAGGAAAATACTGCATGTATTTTTGTTTTCTTTCCCCAACATCTTTGATGTGTATGCTTAATTTTCTCTGCATTACTTGTTAACTAGAAACCACAGTGGAAATATTTAGGCATCACTCACAGTAATGTGATGGAAGTATAATGTTTTTTTAATCTAATTACCTCTTTCAGGAAGAGTTAATTGGAATGAGGTTGGATGAGTGGTCCTCTTTAAACTGCCTTAGAAATTGTGGCAATCCGTGTGTAGATTTAAAACCTAGAATCTGGAAAAAAGACTGAAATAAATCAAAATAATAGTTGTATTGGTTTTGGCTGGGATAGCTAATTTTCTTTGTGGTGTGGTGCTGTGTTTTGGATTTCTGACTGAAACAGGCAGACCACACAGTGTCACCCTTATTTGTAGGCTGGATAATTATGATACTTCTGATCACCCAGGGTAGGTGGTTGGGTATTCCACAGTTGTGTACAAGGAGTGTCACCCAGTGGAGAGGACAAAATCCAGTTGTGTCAGCAGGCACCAAAAAAAAAAGGACCTGGCAAAACCAGGAAAGTCACAGGACTGAGGTTTTTGTTCATCATCGATTAAATGTGGTTGCAAACAAAGTAACATGAATTTCCAGGGACGTATGTGTAGCTTTTGAGTGCAGAACATCTTATTTTATTTTTGTGCTATTAAGAAAATTGTGTAAGAGCCCTGTTGTAATCCCAGGTGGTTTTCCTGGCTGCAGGAGCTGTCTACATTTGCACAGAAGATGCATTCCCAAGTAAGCGTTTGCAGCAACTCATAGGCCAGCAACATAAGCTGCGTGCAGATGTTCCAGCTGAGATCATACAGAAGATCAAATTCGGAAACAGTATTTTTGTCGAGCACGCAGCAGACCTGGTAAGTAGTAGCACAAAATAAGAATGCATAATTATTACACTACAGTCCAATAATCATGGGGGGGGGTGTTATATAGGAGACCTTTCAAAAGGCTGAGAGTAAACTAAGATCTGTAATGAATAAATACTACTTAATCTGCAATTTGCTAGAGTTTTACTGTGAAATATATTGAAAAATAATATTTTTTTAGAATGAGTCATGCAGTAGATTTTCTAAGTCATTGTGTTTACTGAAATGTAGTAGACTTACTGCTACCAGTCCTACTGCAGCTCCTGGGGAAACCTTCACTGAGTTTGGAGACAGGGTATAAGTGGGTAAGCAAAAGGTGCTGTGTATACTGACTGTCCTGCAGTATAACACCAGAGTTGAACTGCAAATGGGAGGAAAGGATACAAAAAGGGATGCCTGGAATGGGTAATGGCAAAGAATCACCACAGCAGTGCAGCTCTCTTGCCCCTCTACCTGAGGGGTGTCAGAGTAGAACTGGAGGGGGAAATAAACAAACCTCAGTCCAGTGTTCTTGCCTTGTAAACCCATTTCTGTGCCTTTTCTCAAGCAGCCCGAGTATGCTCTTTATTGATAGAATGTCAGAAGTTCTGTTTTCTCTAAGGCTTGACAGTAGCAGTTGTTGAATCATTCCAGTTGTTGGGCTTTTTAATTGTAGTTTGCAAGTGTAAGATCATCTTGCTTGAAACTTATTCACTGTGTGGTCCAGGCAGCAGCTAAGCCACCTTTTCCATGTCCCTTTCATTAGAAATATTAATTAAAGTTCTAATGGTAGTTTCTGGAAGCTACATGGTATGTTTTTGTCAAAAGGAGAGAATTGTCCTTCAGTAGTATGTAAATCTCTCTAAAATACCTTTAAAAGTAAAACACCACTCTCACTGGTAAGTCCAGCACAACAGATTATTACATTTCATTCTTGCTGTGCGTAGATGGAGTTTGTGTGCTTAGGATTGCAGTACTGCACCCCTGAGATTTTAAAATACCAGTAAAGAATCAAAAAGTCAGAGCTGCAGGTAACTGCAGGGTGCAGTTTGGTCTTCTCTTTTTTTTTTTCCTTAAGTAAAGCCACAAGAAGTTACTGTTGAGACTTAAAAGATCCACAAAATCCCTTCAGGATTAGGAATTCCTTCAGCTCGTCCTGCAGTGACGATACCTGTAGTTGATGTGACCCTCCTGCTGTGACAGGTGGAGTTCTGTGCCCTGTCTCACTGCTCTGTGTGTGTGTGTGTGTGTGGCAGGACACCTTCCACAGGTGCATCACGACGAGGCTGTCCCTGCTGCTGGCCAGGGGGATGGTCAGGCTGGTGGTCATCGACTCCATCGCTGCCTTGTTCCGCTGCGAGTTCGGGGTTTCGGAGTCTGTTATGAAGGCTCGGTATTTGCAGACCTTTGGAGCGCAGCTTCACAGTTTGAGCACAAGATTCAGGACTCCAATAATGTGCATTAATCAGGTATGGCATCGAAATTGCTGCATATTCTATAGGGGACATTTAATTTACCACTGTCGACTGAGTATTAATGACTGATGGAAACTGAAGCTTCCTTAAGCTGATGTGCTTTAAACTAGTAAATTTTCTATTCAAAATTTAAGAACATCATCTAAGCTTTTGTAGACTCCTAACATTCTCAAAAGTTGCCCACTAAAGCTAACAAAAATAGGTACGTATAGCAACTGCACAAGAGATCAAAACAAAGTAACACGAGTTCTTTCTTGACGCTGGCTTCAAATGCCATTGCCAGCAGGATCGCTCTGGGAACTCTGCAGGCACAGTTACATTCCAGGAGACAGTGAAACACCAGGGACTTTGCTGCATTTCTGTGGAGCTCAGCATTTTTGTGTAACTGCTGAGATTACTAAAGCACGAGAATGCATGGGCTGACATGAGCTGAACAAAAAAAGGCCGCAATGATACTGGTCAAAAGGAATATTATTTTGAGAAAACAAGACAAGACACTGCTCTTAGTCTACTCACAAACTGAAGGAGCATATGAATGCTGGAGGTGAAGCACCCACAGTTGGAATATGGCCTCAGAAAGGGGTAAGTAAATGTGCAGGCAGGTCACTGATGGGAAAATTCAAAGTTTATGCAATCACTGAGAACAGGATATTTTTTGGAGCACTTTTTATCTGCAGCTATAGCATTGGAAGAGTTTTGAGGGATTTTGTTTGTGGGGTTTGGGGTTTTTTTAAACAAATGAAGCATCTGGAAGTAGTTTAATTCACATAGGCTGTAACTAGCTAAATAATTCTAGCACTGTAAACTCAGCTTGTAATTCACAACTCCCTTTTAGTTTGCCTTGAAAGAATAAGGGTTTTCTAACTTAGTTTCATGTATGATCTGATAACTTGGATTTTCTTGTCTTTGTTCCCTTCCCTGCCCTCCTGCTCGCTGAACACAAACACACGAGCACAGCTCATCTGAAATGTTGTTTTTCTGCTTTAGGTGACAGATGCAGTGAGCGAGTTGGAAGCTGCTCAGTGCAGTTGTAGGTGAGTCATCCCCAGCAGAGTGTAACAATGTCAAACACAGCAGCATTTAAACACTGTAACTCCAATATAAACTAGGAGAGCGTGTGAAGGGCAGTAGGGCATTTACCCAGCAATGCTGTATTTGCTGGAGATCAGCACTAACTCGTGTGCTGTGAAGGGGGAGAAGCTGCCATCTGCACTTAGGTCATAACTCTAATCAGCAAGTTAGCAGGAAAACTTCCCTGGAGTTAATGGCTGGTGTCCTTGCTTACACAGGAGTGGGTTTGCATCTCATCTGGTCTCTGATATGACTGAGTGCATTTTCTGTCTGCTTAAAAAACATAGCAACCAAACCTTAGCAGTTGGCTTTCTTAGTGGGATCAGAAAAAAACCCAAAATCATATCTTTTGACACCAAGATATTAACAGGATTCAAAGGTACATATTTTTTTGGTTGAATCCTGACCTTAACCTTGGTTTACTACAAAATGGGTGCTACATAAATGGCTGTTTGTGAGGAGTCCTCTATGGCCACCAGATTTGGAAACTGACACAGAACATGGATAAGATTGAATTATTTTTTTTTTCCTGGTTATCTTGTAATCCTTTTACTTGGAGAAATTGCACTTTATCCAGGCGAAAAAAAAAATTGGTTTTAAACTTTGGGTTGAAAGTAGTATGTATGTAGTGCTGTATTTACCCAGCATTTCTAAATATACCCCCAAATGGAATCCAGGGCCAGTAGTTACACACTTCACTTACAGTTCAATCATTTTTCTCTAGTGGTTTTCCTGTCTTAAGAGGGGGCCCATCCAGAGGCAGGTATTCCCCATGGCTGTAGTTGGAAGAATGACAGTTGTTCTGATAGAAGCCCTTCTCTTCCAGCTGTTACCTTGCCATAGAGAGAACCTGACATGTAATGTTGTGAGAACACCCTGTCACCTCTGTCTTCAAAGACTGTGGCTTTCAATTTAGCAAACAATGTAAAACAGAGAAACAGCAGATCGTTTAGTCCAGTGTGATTTTGTTATAACAGAAGTGAAGATATTCCTTATGAAATTGGTGTGTGCAGAAATGTGAGATACTGTCTTTACAGGGTAGTGGGGAACCGAGTTGTTCCAGCACTTGGAATAACCTGGGCAAATCAGCTGCTGATGAGACTGATGGCCAGCCGGATATCCCTGCCTGGACAAGCATCTGGAGTGGCATCACACTGCACTGGAAGTGTGAGGACTTTGAGGGTAGTTTTTGCTCCTCATCTCCCTCCATCCTCTTGCTACTATACAGTACAGTTGGAAGGTGTAAAAGGGATAAAATAACTCCTTTGCATAGTGAAGTATTCTGCTCCAAAAAAAAAAGGTATCAGAACTATGCTTCATGAAGAATTACTGTTAAAATGCAGTTCCTCCTAGGAAGGGAAGAGAGAAGTGGATGGTCGAGTACATGAACAATGGCATGACTTCATTTAGCCTTGTCTACATTGTGAAAGATGTTTTTACACTTGGATATTCGGCTTGTCCTTGTGAGAGAAGTGCTCTGGAGGAGAGTGAAGCTGTGGGCAGGTGGAGGCTGCACAGTGAAGTGGGAGGTGGCAATCCCCATGCTGGGGGAGACCTGATGTCTCATTTTATTTTAATTGCATACTAATGTAGAACCAGCATTTACTGCAGTTGTGGACCCTCTCTGTTTCCAGACCCAAAGGGACTCAACTTGAATCAGTCAGTGTTGCCTGCTGGTGGTTCTGGGCTGCCATTAAGGATAGCTGTCCTTTGGAATAAGACAAGGCAGCTTTGTCACAAAGCAGTGTCCTATTTTAAAACCCCTTGTTATTAATATCTGGATTTTAAAAAATACAATACCAAAAAGGTACTTGATTTTAACATCTTACTATAAGAATTAAAATTGTACTGCCTTTCTACTAGATAGGTATGTTCAGCTTCATAGCACTTCTACAATTTTTCCTACTGGTTAATTTCCACTCTTTTCCTGCTTTCCTGTCCCGTCCCTTCGTAGCAAAAGCCTCTTTAGCCTCATTCATTTGAAAAATAATGAACCACACCTCCATCCCCTTGTTCTGTTTGCCCACCACTGAAGCTGTGTAACCTTGGGGCAAGTGCTCTCTTCCTGTTCTTCCTGATACTCTGCCCTGCTCTGTGTTTTGCTGAATCTGGACAGTGTTCTGGATTACTGCCTCTGGCATCCTCTGTCCCTGCTGCTGGGATCTCAGCTAAATTGTGCTTCTGAAGGGCATCATCAGCTGTTTTCATCCATCCATGGAGCTTTTGCTCTGAGGTGATTTTTGTTTAGTTAGAGCTTTACGTGTTTTTTCTTTTCTTTATCGAATCTTTTTCCTGTCCTCAGACCACTGCCAGGACACCTGCTTTTCCTGCTGTGGCTGAATTTTACCATCCCTGAATTAGGTGTGAAAACAAGCCAGGTGAAGTTCCAGAGCACTCAGACCTCACTGGGCTTGTGTTCTGTGGGTGCCTGCTCTCCCCACTGTGTGATGCTCACTTGTATCACACACTCATGAAGCTTTCAGATTCCCCTCTCCTTTTACCTGCCTGCCCAGGTGCCCAAGCAAGAACTCCCCCTGTTTCTGTGGTTACACAGCTCAGGTCTGTCTTTTGGCCAGGCTATGCTATATTAGTGAAACAAACACCTCCTCCACCTTTTCCCAGGCATCCTCTTTCAGGATAAAGGCAGCCATCCTTTCATGTGGAAGCAAAGAGCTGGGCAGCGGAGAGGAAGAGTTCTGTCTGGCTGCACACTGGCTCAGCTGGAACTCTCTGGCAGGAGACTTCTCAGGGGACAACTATGATTTAAGGAAAAGAGACCCTGTGTGACTGCCCCGGGAAGTTCCAGAGGAGAACAATCACAGCTTGAAGCTGAAGGAAGGAAACTGAGCAAGCAGAAAGGATGAGTTGCTTTCAGTGCCTTCTGCAACCCCTTCAGGTATCTCAGGGGACCTTGTGCAAATAGCATAAGTTTTCTCTAATTGCTTTTCTAAAGTGTCTAAATTCTCTGTATTTGGAAATTACTGTGCTTGATGGTGTTTTTTAATAAAATCCAGCCATGAACTTCAGAAGCCTTTGTGTATTCTAAGGAAAAAGTGAGAGTGCCACAGCTCAGAGTCATGGCTACCTCTTCAAATCCCTCCCTTCTGTGCCTCCTTAATAATAATTTAATGAACAGGTAACACTCCAATTTTTCCTCTTCTCTCCCTGGCCTGTGTATCTGGGACTGGAACAATACCCAACAGAATGCTTATCCTAGTACTGACTGAAAAAAAAAAAGCCACAGAGAGATGTAGCTGATTACTGTGAGTCAGCCAACTCCTACCTGGACATTCATTACAGGGGAGCCTCATCAAACCCCACCTCCAATGCCAGGAGTTTGCCTCACTGTGTTCTGAACACGGATCAGTCTGATACACACACACCTTAAGGCTCAGTCTGTAATATTTTGATCATTCTTTTGCCAGGAATGAGCCATAAGCATTAAAAGTCAAAGATGAACCTGTAATCAAAGAAGTCCCAGTTTAGCTGGTGAAAAACACTTTAACCCAGAAACTGAAGTAACATTTTGCCTGAGCAAATCTTCCTGTCAGTCATTGCCCATGTTGGTTCTTACTTAACTCTCCAGCAGAGCAATTACAGTTTGTCTTCTGGCTCATCATCACACACAAACCCTGAACCTCCCAAACCCAGCTGACCCCTCAGCTCACAGCCATCAGTCGGTCACCTGCAGTGGCTGAATGTTCAGCTCCTGCCCCATCCCTCAGTCCCATGCCCATCCAGCCTGGAATGTCCACCTGACACAAGTGCAGCTTTGGGGCTGCAAACCCCCATGGGAACTCAACAAAGCACCTGCCTGCTTTGAACCCGTCTGTCCAAAGGGTTGTAACAAGCACAAGTTTTAATAAATGCAATTTAAGAACCTTCCCTTTATACAGCTTTATTCATCTTTGGGTTTCACAACTCAGATTTGTTTCTATACAAGAAAAAACTGAAGTAGTTTTTACAAAGATGATTTACATTCTAGAATGTATTAAGTCTTTATCCTGCAAGACTACATTTAAATATTTCTCTACACTTTGAAAAGAAACATTAAATGACACTTGAAAAACTTTAAAACATTTCAAATTAAACTACAGATTCGTGATGTATTTGAAGAGGCCTTTTTCAGCAGAAGGATCATATTCTGTGTTCATTGCTTTGGAAAAGGAGAATCAAATTCATTTGTACTTGGTAAAGAATTTACACAACTGACCTATTAACAAAACAAATGTAGTAAAACACTCTAAACAATTTAATTACAAGTTTCCTCAAATCACAGTGATTTGCTACTGTGTTACAGATAACATTTGTGGAAGTTTATTTTCAACACAGTTTTATGGGGTAAGACAGGCAGGTGAACTCTCAGTGGGATTTCATCCGTAGCTGTCAGGAGCAGTAACTACTCAGATCAAATGCAGCATCTGAAAGCCAGTCTTGGAAGGTTTATTTATCTTTTTTAAAATCAAAGATCAAAGTCATATATGGGGGTGGGGATGATCTCCTCAAGGAGGATACACTCACAAATGGTTTTTTAGTTTTGCTGTTGCTGTGGTTTGGTTTTGTGAATGGTTGGGGGGATGGGGAAGGGAATAATCCAATGTAGATGTTCCGAGATTTCCCTCAATTCTAACTATTTACAAAAGAACTAAAAGCCAGGGTGTACTTCTGTAAGTTGGTGACAATGAAACTTCACAGCAGCACATCTTTTAACGTTTATTCTCTCGGTACAGACTAACATGACCAAAAATGCAATTTTCTCAGCAGCCTTCAGACACAATACATGACCTGCACAACAAAAGTAAATCAACTCACCAAATACTGTAAACACACTGCCAAAGCAGCACTGCACAGCCCTTTGACTAAATATTTACAACTGAAACACACTACTTGCAGAATTTCTGGATTCAGATGGTATAATTTAAGCACAGATACTTCTCAAGCTCAAAACCATTTTAATTTACTACCATTCAGGAGGACTTGGGGGGATGGGGCATCATTTATTTTAATGTAGGAACTGTAGACAAGGTGTCCAAGTGGTTTTGTGTTTTGTGCTGGTTGTTCCTCCAGAAGAGGAGCAAATCAGGTACATTTTACAAGAATACTTAGTAAGATCTAAACTCAAGACCAAATATTTGCCAATATCGGTGAAGACTGGCACACAGAGACAGAAGGGCAACAAGCACCTTTCTGTCAGTAACAATTCCATGTATGATTCATTCCACATCCTGCTGTACACCCTGGGACTCACCACTGTTCACAGAGAATCCAGAGGAACTGGCCTAACTTTGAGTCCTCATGTTTTGCATGAAGTTCACCCTTAAAATTCTGGTCAAGGACAAAAATGCCAGATTAAAAACAACTGTATTACCAAGGTTGCAGTTTTCCCAACAAGATGTCTGTCACTTCTCAAAGTCTTTTCTAGTTTTCTGTTTCATCAGAGCTGTTGATTTAGTTTGGAGCTGAAGACACCCAGGAATTACACAACTGGATGTTCTGCATGTATTCTTTATGCAGACTTTGCTACAACTGGAACAGAGGAAACCCAGAAAGAAAATCTTGCATAAAATCGAACTGAGAAGCCCATCTGAAATATAAATGTACACAAACCATGTCCTGACAGTAACTCATTCACGATTCAAACACAGGGAATGTTGACTTTAACTTGGTTCTTCTACTTTACAAGTTCTTCTCAAACTGCAAACAGCTCACTGGCTCCTAACAGTAAGGGCTTGGCTACCATTCTTGGGGATTTATGGATTAAAGAAGTCTTTTAATTTGTTTCTTCTCTGAAAAAATAAGATCAACTTTTTAAATATAAAAATTGTTTAATAAGCAGTAGCTCAACAACCTAACCTTCCACCACACTTTAAAATTCTATACAAAGGATTAAAACATTCAAAAGCACAGTATTAGTAATGCCACCAACAGCAACATCCTGAACAAGAAAGTTCCTCTGCTATCACCATCAACACACCACGGTGTTGCACCGTACACTGTAATTTGGCATGGTTACAGTTTATTGCTATTTACACAGTGTTGGGTTTTTTTAAGAGGTTGCAAAAAATCATTTTCCCCTCTCAAACCTGAAAGACGAATGTGGGAAACACATTGCCCAGTTTAACTAATTCCTTATTACCGAATCAGTTCTGTAACTAAATAGTTTTGTGGTTTTTGTTTTTTTTTTTTTTGAAGTCAGATTTTTGTGAGGGTCTCCCAAGTGGAACACCACCCATGGAGCTGCTCCTGCAGCAGGAGCAGTGTGCTGGTTGGAAAGGGACCCAAGGGGTGTTTGCAGGGAGTGTCTCAGGGCACAAGGCTGGGGCAGGGCTCTCCTGCTGCCTCCTGGCCAGAGATGGCACCCCTGGCCTGGCAGCCTCTCCTACAGTTCTTTTTGCAAAGCCAGCTCAGTCTGCCTTTGTGCAGAGAGTCTATTTGCCAATTTTTACAGAAAATGTTTTGCTTTAGGGAGGGAAAAATAAAAGTATATATATTACATATTTTTTTAATATAAAAAGCTCTTAATAAAAAGATTAAAACTCAAGAGTCAACATTACACGAGTATCTACTGTTAAGATAACCGAGCAACAACCTGTTCCTGCTCGAGTTCACTAATGAATTGCACTAATCTGTGCTAAAACCTCTACACAATTATTAGCAGCATCGTATCTCACCGTTCCTAAACTGTCTCTATAGCAGGTGCACCACACGCAGCTTTCTTTGAAGAGATGCTCAGACGGTACCTCCTGGTAAACATAGTTAAGTGCATTACACAGACACCTTTTTGCATCAGTTACTGTAACCAACTTAAAACCAGGTGCAAACCCAGTCAAATACTTTTCCTAAGTGCTAATTCTAATGACTTTTCACAGCCTGTTCAAATACTAAAACTTGCGTATCTTCCTATATTTTACCTCCTTCAGTTACCACTGACCTTGAATATTCCAGCTTTTCCCGAAGTTAAATTTGTTCAGCATTTTCCAGCTCACAACTATGACCACAAATACATTTGTTCGCACACCAGCAGGTTTTGTTTGTTTTTTTTTTTACTTCCTCATCCAACTTCACGCGAAGAATTTTCACAAAAGAACAAAGTTACAAGCTTTACAGAAAAGCAAAAGGAAATCCTAATGTCTATAAAATCCTTAAAACATACATAATTCCAGCAGCAGTCCTGTATACACACAGCATATATATATATATGTGTATATATATATATATAAATCTAAGTGGATTTAATGTGGATATGTGGTCACACAGGTCACTTGCCACTTTTGGCCATCTGGTGCTTCCACGGAGGCCCTTAAGATGTGAGTGGTCGCTTGCACAGCAGCTACTCCACAGTGTGACATCCCAGCGTGTAGTTGCCTGCTTCTGCTGTCACCAGCTATTATGGAGAAAGGCAGGATTTGGGATCACCATATGGAAACGTTGGGGCACTTTTCAGCAGAGAATGGGATTGTGGATTCCAGTGGACAAGCGAGAAAATCAACCTGAGGCTCAATGTTCCCCTGAGAGCAGCCGCAGCTGCCCTGGGACAGTTGCAGTCCAAAACTCGGGTATTCTTCTACCACACAAGGTAAAGGGTTTTTTCCATTTCTCCTGATGGACAAAACCCATCCTATCTCCACTGACTACTGAGCCCTAAGACTTAAATTAGCGGAGTTATGGTCACAGGTGTTGCTATTCACACGTAACACAGCCCCAGCCATTGCTTCTGTAAAATTTACCAGCTCAGTCTAGTCGTGTCTAAGTGCTGTTCAGCCAGCCAAGGCTTCTCCCATTACAAGGATCAGTGGTGCAAGGGCAAGCCCCCCCCAGCTACAGAATGCTCAACTGGCATTTATACAGTAATGCACAAGAACTTATCCTTTTCTTATTCCAGCCCTGTATGTATTTACTGACAAACCCTTTGTTTTGCCTGCATTTTCAAACAACACCGCATTTTGGGAGGCTTTGAGTGTGTTTGTATTTTTACTTTTTTTTTTTGGCTGCTGTAATACTCAGATCTATTAAAGAAATCAATGTAAGTAGCATGAATGGGAGCAGTGCAACGAGCAATATGTATCTATAGTTTTCCTGTAAAGAAAACACTAACGCTGTGTTTAAAATCGTCCCGATTTAAAAAGTAAAAACAGCAGTCCATTGGAGAAAAAAAACAACAACAACAACAACAACATCTACAAACTAGGTGTTCCTATACACAAGGATGAGGAACCAAAGCTTTGAAGGTCTCAGTGCTTCTTTATTCACACAGGAATATTAACTAGCTGCTGTCCAAAATCTCAATGCGCCAAATCTGTATGACTGACACTCAGAGCTCGCGAGTCTGTCAGACAATTATTTCGTTCCTGCGTGAAGGGGAAAAAAACAAACAAATACATTAAGCAAATGTCCAGATGGTTCAAGAAAACAAACAAAATTACTAGTTTTAACAAACAGGAACAAGCAAATACAAGGAACTACTGGGAACTGCTCTTGTTGATGGTGGGGAGGGGGTTGATTTTCCATATTCTAATAAACATGGTTTTCCCCAACTTTCAGCTGGCAATACTGTAAAGTATACACACCTTTCCAATCCTGACCTAAACCTTACCAGAAATGCAAGGGCCCATTTATGGGAATTGCCATGAGTGTCTACGATGGGGGAACTACAAAAGTTCACAAGAAGCGACAACTAATTATAACACCACAGGGTACACACAAACAATAAACTCCTCTTCTGGAAGCCACACCAATTAAATACACACTAAGGATCCAGTCTAGGGGCGTCTGGGGCACGGCACTTTGAAACACTGGCACCGTTGCTGCAGAGAATTGTGCTCTACCCTGCATTTTTCTGGCTGAAGCTCACCCTAAGCATGGTTTTGCACACAATTCCAACCACAGAAAACTCTGCAGTTCATTCCTTAGAGAGAATACGGTTATGACACCTTTACGCCACTCAGGAGTAAAACGAGAGCCACAGAGCTTTGGCTTTCCTACTTCAGGACACACGGTGCTGAAGGTCCTCACCTACAGCTTTGTTAGTACAGAAGCAGTTTTATCTTCCTAAAATTAGCTGCAGTTACTGTGTTAGTAAAAAGCACAGCAGTGTTTAGAAGGCAGAACATCGCTCGCTCGTTTGACAATCTCAGAAACAGTGATTTGTTAGGTAAAAACAGGCAGTGGGGAGCAGCAGCACTTGGGCACAGGGTGTACAGTTAAGCAAAATAAGGTCTTGTATTAGCAGAAGCTCAACACAGATCAGACAGACTTGTCAGACTGCTCCTGTCCAACCTCAGAAACAGCTGAAGTCATGTCTACAGGAACCTGACAACAATTAAGATAACTGTGTTCTTTGCAATAAAGGGGCTGAATTTAAAATATACTGAGCTGGACTTTTAACAGTTCCTGCATTTTTAAGTTGCTTTTACAAGAACATAATATTCAAGTTTCACATCCACTGTAATAGAAAGTCCAAAGCCAGAGAGTGCTTGGTACCATAAAACCCAATGCATTTTACTGGATGGACTTGAGCCCTTGCTTAAATTTAAGCCTAATTCACAGAAGTGTCACACAGTGATGCCTTAAGCATGTGCTTCAAACATCTTACTGAAGTGGGATCTCACAATCACTGTAAATTCGTTGTTTTATTATCATACTCTTTTTTATCCCAAACCCTACTAACAATATTTATTTCTGTAAGAGTATTGTAGGGCTTCTTACTTGAAAATGATCTTCAGTAGCCTTGCCACCCATGTTAAGAACATTCAGAGAACTGGCACGCTTCATGCTGCAACCAGGACAGTGAACATGCAAGGATAAACCGATCAGAATGGCTGAAAACTAACAGCTCTAAAAACACAAGTACAACAACAAGCAATGCACAGTTAAGGGAGGGGGAACAATTGCCTCAGAACTGACCTGAGGGATACCCTTTAAGGTAACTACAAAACTTCAAATATGTTTATATTTGGCTCTCAATGACTTGTAAAACCCCCAAAATTACAAGCTCTTTTGAGCTTAAACATTTCAGGCAATTAATTTAATTTCAACTCAAAATAAAAATGCCAGGTTTTAAACCATATCAATTTAATACACTGACTTAGCATTGATTTTTAAGTAAATAATTCTCAGTTTCAATTTTATGTGGCTTCTTTCAAAAGCATCAAAACATTCAGACAGTTTAGGAAAAAAAAAAGTGAAACATAAGTATGTCTGTCGTGTAGGCAGCATCTACCCTAGAAAGCTACAACAGAAGTTAGTTTAGTTTTCCGCCTCATCTTCAGAAACAATTTTAAAAAGCATTTTTAAATGTTTTATTTTAAACATTTGTAAGTGAAGAGAAACAAGGTGGTTGCTGCTGTTAACTTTGGTTGTGCTTTTGGCTTTACAACACTCCAAGCAGTGGTAAAACACACCCTGGACCACGGCACTGAAAGTAACAGATGAGGGGAAAAAAAAAAATCAATCACCTACACAGGACCTACTGAGAGTCAAAATATCACTGCATTAACTGCAGTATCTACTGACGTTCAAGATGAGGATTAATAATTTACCTACATTTCTCAAACATACACAAAATTTAACAAAAGTATTTTGACGTGTACGTATCGAAATTCAACATCAGCCTTAAGATTCCAATGTTGGTGGTGGCCACAACAGGAAAATGTCTGATGTCCTTTATCTCTCTGTCTGTCCATTACTCAGGATGTTCTGTGTTTGCTCTGATTTTTCACTAGCTCTTCAGCTAGTTCAAAACTGCTAAATGAGAGCTTTGAATACGTATTTGATGAACAACTCACAGGACGACGAGTCCTGACCCTGCAGTGCTACCCCAGCTTGAGACAACTGGCCTGTGCAAAGTTTCCAGTGCCTTCCAGTAACATGGAAAGGTTTATCCATACAGATCACGTTAGATATTTACCAGTTTTTCTTTCTACTGAAGCAGGACCGCTAACAGTCAAAGTCAAGCACGAGTTTTAAATGCTTTCACAAAGCAAAGGCTTAGCAGGACAATGAACCAAAACACTAACACAGACAACAGCTGCCACACAGCACAGGCTGACTGTTTTTTCCTAGTTAAATCTGAATGTTTCAAAAGCCAGAAGCACACCATTTAAAATATTTGACATGAGTGTGTTAGCAACAACAAAGCAAGGACTCATGCACGGTGTACACCTCTCATTTATTCAAGGAAACGGGAACAACAGAGGTTATATGTGGAAGTCAAAGGAAGTTAATCTGTAAAACAAACAAATTGTTACAGAAAACTCTCGAAAGAGCATAAAGGTTTATGGAAAACATTCCAGGGAAACAGAAAATCCACCAGTAAAAATTTACACCTATAGTTTAGGTTCTTGCTAAAGTGTCAATGAAAAAAAAATTATTCACATCTGAGATACTGGCTTGCTTTCGGGTTGGTTGTTTATTTGTTTGGGTTTGTTTAAACAACACACTTGAGAATTTAGTCTGGCAAATGCACTTTTAATTCCCTCCATGTTACAAACACAATTGTATAAGGAGTATGCAGTTGTTTTTCTGGTGCATAAGTAATAGCAATAATGAAAGCTTTTTTTTCTCTTTTAAATTAAAATCTTAACTGTTCTGCTGTATGGTCAAAATTTTCGAAGTGAAAAAATAAATAACACTAATTAAGGAAAGTTAAATTATTACAGAACTGAATTTTGAAATATGATAAAGAACTGATACCTTGCTTCAGGTATTGTATGTTTCAAAGGACAGTTTTAAGATACTTGGTTTTTGTCAAAAAGGCTTTTGCATGATTGTAAAGAAAACAATTTCCCTGATGAGTTTTCCACTTTATTCTCTTCAACATTCTGTATCAAGCAACAGCATGAAAACTAAGTCTGTCTTTCATCCTGTTATATTAGTGCATTGCTATTCAAATACTCCTCATTCAGAATCACACCAGCACTGTCAATTCCTATTTACAGAAGCAGAGTACAAACAAGAGGTGTAAATCAATCTCAAAACAAAGTCTTCCTAGAGACACAGGCAGGGAATGCACTGGGAAGGAGGGAGGAACATCAGTCTTCCACCTGGAGTGGCTGATTTCACAGCAAAAGTTAGTTATATGTGTGCTATGTCAGTACTGTAATATTCAGCTATCAAACACACTAAAAACCAAAGGTCTGCATTATAAAAACTGAATATCTCTTTTGTTAAACTCAGAAGGAGGAAAAAAAATTAATTTATTTACTGAAGTTTCTTCAGAAAATGAAATCAAAATGATTCCTTGGAATATCTGTATATACAGCTATTCTTCATGATCTACAAAGCTGGTGTTTAATACCAGCAATCTTTGCATTTGAAATTAAAACCAGCTAATATAAATTAGGATTTTAGAAGTCTGTTTATTACAAGAACAGAAATTATAATATTTATTGTCTTACACACTCAAAGTGACTATCTACATAAAAGCCTGTCAAAGCAATACACTTACTGCAAGTTTTAAGAGTAAATTATCCTTTGAGAACTATGGTGACATATGAAAAACAAGAGTATTTTGTCAGAAAGGGAAAGCAAGAACGATATCGCTCTGCTTTCAAGTTTGCTTCACATTTCTGCCCTTATTTGAGGAAATCTCATCTGGTGCTACAGACCCCACAGTGTAACTAATGTTAATGTGGGTAGATGATTTTTATATGGGTCAGGTAACACAACTGAAGTGCAAACAGTAGCAAGGCAGGTGAGTTCCTGCAGGACATTGCAAAGCCAAATGTCTTCAGTTATACATAAGCATAATTTTATACACCTATAATCACAGGGTTACTTTACCTGCAGAAAGAGTCAGCTACAAATACTACAGAGAACAAGGAATAACACTCCTGGCTTTTATGGAACTGAAAACCTTTCCATGTCTCACAAAAACAAGGAGAAAATGCAAAATTAGCTATGGATATATGCATCTATTTATGAAAGAATATATCTGAACTATGATGTAGGAAGTCTGGAAAGAACTGAACAGAAACCCAACATGTGAACACACTAATACTGAAGAAAAGAAGGAACTCCCTTTTGTTCTATTTGAGCTTGCCTTTGTTTGTTTTCCCCAAAGGATTTTACATTTACACATTTCTTTCTTCTAATCACATGCTTTTCACAGTTCATTCCAAATTTATCATCTCAGAGGTAGTTCTTAGTAATGTTATCAATAAATGCAAAGGGATTTTTGATCCTGAATTCCATTCAGTGCCTGCAACATCAAGTCTCTGGCAGTGAAAATTTAGGTCATAATTCTAAAAATCAGGGCTGAATTTGAAACAGATATGTGAGGAAGCTAATTCTACATGTACTGCAGCTGTACACAAAGCTTTAGAGCCACATAAAAACAATAAGGCAAAACTTCACTGGAGCACTCACAGAAACACAGTGAGAACCTGCCTCCAGGTCACTGTCTCAAGTTACATCATCACCACCATCATCATCATCATCATCTACTACACTACCCAGAGTCAGCTGCTCCAGGTTCTCCAACATGAGTGTTTTAAGTGTAAGTTCACACTGTCACAGAGTTTCCTGTCAACTAAATGAGTTCCAGTTTTCCCCAGTAAGGGCAAAAAACCCCTGCAAAACTGACTGCAATTATGTTGAGGGTGAGGGGGAACACTCACTGGTGCCATGACAAAAAATAGTAGGCGCATTTTAACCTTTCTCTGCAGCAGTCATGAGGAATGATTTTATGGATTTATTAGACATTTTCAAATCCATAAGCAGATAGCAAATAATAAAGAGTGAGCAGTCAGACTCAATAAAATTTGAATTTTTACCATGGACTTCATAGAGGCCAAAATATTAATGAGACACATAATGAGGTTCAAGTTTTTCAACATTTTCTTCTGTTCTCTGACATGGGAGTTTTCCAAAAATAGAAACTGAGAAGGGCTCAAGTGGGTAATTCTCTTTATACTCACAGCAATATATAAAGCTGTATCAAGAATATCAATAAGATATCAAGAATGTTAGTTGTGGGTTTACTGTATTCAGGCTTTACTGTAAAAACTGAGTTAACTCGTAAAAGCAAATGTAATTCCTGGGATGTCACAGAACTTAAAATGAAAGCTTAAGAAATTATTTCCTATTTTATTTTTTTTGAGATATAACTCTGTATGATACACAGGTGCTAAGCAGGGAAGGAAACACTGCCCTAGGTACTACACTAGGCTACAGTGGGGGCACAGATGGAGGACACACCGGCACAGCTAAGAACAGATAGTTACCCTGGGTTCTTTGGTTCACTGTCCCGTGAATTTCCTCCCTTCAGCTTCCTAACCAGCTTCTCACTGCTGCGTCTAAGGGAAGCACGAAGCTTGCTAAAGGAACCACTGCGCTTTAGAGATCCAGTGCCATCCTGAAAGAAATTGAACACATGTGAAACTGCAAGAGGTTGTTGCCCTCCCCCTGACATGGCTCCAAAACATTTCACTGATGAATTATTATATCTTAACTGCTATTAATATATACTTATACCATATACAATTACCTGAACGTGTAACACCACATAGCTACGACTTTACCAAAACAAAAGGGTTCCTTCCAAAGTGTAACAAAGATTTCTAAAGGTGAAGACCTGCCCAAGCCATAATTCATAGTAACTAATAAAACCCCATCACAGTAGTCCAACAATTCACCATCACCATGTCACCATTTCACATGAGCACACCATGGTTAAGAGAGTACAGAGCCCCGAGCAAAAGCATTCCATCAGTCTAAGAAAAAAACTTGTTTCTTTCTTTCTAAACATCTCTGTTACTTGCAAACATGTTTAATTAATCCCAGAATCCCTAAACAAAAAGTATTTCTGATCAGAAACACCCATGGTCAAATTCTGGTGCTTCGTTTTAACTTTCCACCAAAGAAAACATAAAACACAATGAAATTAATTTTTCATATATTGCATTCATGTTTTACGCTGCTGTGCTGACCCAGAGAAACATCCAACTGACCACAATTCTGTTTTTAAATGTTTTACTCTTAAAAAGACCCCAACAGTTTAGTAAGATTAGAAGTGACCACTTCCTACGTCACAGAAAACTTGGGTGATTATGAAAGAAGAGTTGTGAAAGAAAAAAGCACTACTAAGCAAAGACAGACACCTGAGTTGGAGTGAGTTTATTAGAAGTTAGAAAGACAAATACACAAATCACTGAACACCAAGATTAGTAGAGAAAAGCATAATTGCCAAAATCTCACACAAAGACTAAACAGCAATGCTACTTTAGAATAATCATAAGTGAAGACATCCAGAGTTCCATATTGATGTTAACCATATAATAGGTCTCTAAATACATTTTAAAGCACTTGGAGAACATGCCTTACTTTTACGGGTTTGGTTTTTCTCCTGTAAAGATCACCATCATGCCATTTCAATAATACCTTGTGTGATACTTTTAACTACCTTTATTCCAGAGTGAACAGCTACTTATAAAGGTCATTGTTACTTGTTTGGGTTTCTTTTTTTGTTCGTTTTCTTTTTTTTAACTAATGTATTACACAGCAAATGGTTGTAATAACATTTTGTATGACTAGATACATATCTGGCAAAGCTACACATATACAGAAATAGAAAACCAAAAAAGACACCAGCACTGAAGGAATGGCCAGTTTACAGGGAAGAAGTGTAGCTCTGACAAGAATCTTAGGGGGTTTGCTAAAACACAGCAGTCAGTACTGAAGAGAGAAGTTAAAGCTTGAAGATGGTGCACGCCCGTCATGCAGGAGACAGTATAAGAATCACAAAAGGCATCTAGGCCTGTCAGAAACGGAGAGAGAAAAACTGAATGAAACTGTTGGGAAAAATTCAACAGTTTTCAATTTCGAACAGTCACGTTTACAGTATTTCTAGGTCACATTCAAAACCTTTGGAGTCCGGGGTGAGTATTTGGACGGCCCTTTAAGTACAAAGTGCAGGCCCTTGTAATTACCAGAACCTACATCTTTATACAGCTTCACCTACATCACTGATATGGGACTGACAGATAAGCATGACAGATGCTGTGCATTCCTTAAGTTGGCATTTGTATAAAATGCAGAACACCTTGAAGAAGGGATAGCTCTAGTATTACATTTTGCCAACAAAAAAAAAAAAAGGATTATTTTTTCCAGGTGACGTTAACACAAAAATAAAAATAAAATAAATTAATAAATAAATAAAAAAGAAGCAAGGAACAGAGCAAGGTGCATTCATTTCAGCTTTAACTTCTGTAGGGAATTTTCCCTGAAACAAAAGTGCAAGAAGAAAGAAGTCTTCACCTAACCTCCAGACAAAATTCTGTTCATCCTTTAAGGAACTAAAAATCCAGTTGTTCTGGGTAAATTCAGTTTCACAAGTATTTTTTAGAACATATCTGTATGTGTGTATATATATGTATATATAATCCAAATGGAATTTTCTCTGCTTTCCCTAATGCAGTGAGGCAGCTGAAAGAATCCACCTTCTTTAAAATAAATTGTGGTTCAATTTACACACTTTCTGTCCTGTTCTAAGTATAGAGACTATTATTGATAAGTTTAAGATACCTGTCCTGAGAGCCTTTACCTGTAACAACTGGAGTGAACAGTAATTAAAATTATCCCTGGAAATGGCAAAATGCTTTGCTACCAAGTGATCAGAGGATCAAAATCTAACCAAGTATTTCTGTTTCAAACTACACTGCATACATTGTTTACACTTTTAAAAACAGACTTCAGCTTTGCAGGATTGATTAAACTGAAGTCGAAATTCTAACTAGAAGTATTAGATCACTGAAAAGGCTAGTAATTCCTACAGTCTGAAACCAGCAATACTATAATAGTGATAATCACCCAAAGAACAAAGCAAGACAAATTTGGTAGGTACAGAGTATAACTCTAGAGTAAACCTAATTAGAACACTAGGAGTAAGAAGACAAACTTTTGGGTACTTCAAATCTGAAATAAAAACATCAAACTCCCAAGTTAAACACTGCATGATTAAAAAAAAACCTTTAAAACAGTTCAGGATAAAAAAAAAAAACATTCATAAATCCAGAGTAAACAAACAAACAAAAAATCATGGGAGATTTTTATGGTAAAGTTTAATTGACAATTTTTATGTCATTCAGAGTGAGAATCACCTTATTACTTCTGCTTACACCTCCCCACCATCGCCATCTCCTGTACTTTGTAGTTGTCTGCTACAATGTCCCTCTGACTGTCTGACACTTACTTAACAAGAGTAGGTCTCATCAACAGTGAAATTTACTGCTTTCATTTCACATCTGGAAGTGGACTTACATGCCCAAAAGCCTGTCTTTTTGAAGCACATGGGTTGGAGTAAGAAAAGATTCTTCCTCACAGTAAGAATAATTTCTTAAATCAAGCACCTCAAAGATTTTTATCTGTCCTGCAATGGGCTGCAAGATCAATTTACAAAAATGCCAATTACAGCTACTCACTGCACAGATATAATAAGGGATTCAAATCTCGGCCTTTCTACCTCGAATTCTTAAGGCTAAGTATTTCATTGGATGGATTTTAAAAGTAACATGTTTATGCACTATAACCACCTCACTTGATGTGTGTGCTTTAATAGTTAATGGCAGATTTACTTCAATGGGTATTTCAGTTCTTTTGTAAGAATGCAAGACTTTACATCAAAGCATATAATCCCTAATATGGACCACGCTACATATGGATGGCACTTAATTACATCTTCCAACAAAGTTTTTTTGTTGAATTTTGTCACTTTACACACTCCACCAATTCTGACAGCCAAAGAGTAGGAGTCAGCTTGACCACTTCAGAGGAATTTAAATGGAAAAGGCAGGCCCCTCTTCAGGCTCTGCACACAGAAGTCAAAGATTCTACTACACTTTATGAATCAGAATATTTTGTCTGGAGGGAACACACAAGGGTGAAAAAACTACACAATATGAAGTAGAGGGAAGAACACCACTGAGATAGAAACACTTGCAGGGTAGAGGGAGAGAGAGTTGCCCACTTCATGTAAAACATGTAATACAAAACATCTTCTCTTAAGGGGGGAGGGAGAAATAAATAACGAAGATGAGAATAAAGCAATGCCACTTCACACTAAAAATGAGGTTTGTTAACCCTGAGAAGTCAAAATTTAATTTCTCAGATCAATAAATTTTATCACTGAGTTTGACCTAGAAATACTGTCTATTGCTTTTCCCCAGAAGGCCCTTTCCATCCAAAACCTGCATGCATGTTTAATTAATGTCAATAACAGAAAAAAGTTTAATCCATTTAGAACATATAGTCATGCAAAGTACAGCGAAATTTAAGGGAGGAGTACAGTACACAGTTCTAACGTTGAATGGGCAAAATGAGAATTAAAAATAGAGTTATCCAACCTGACTTTGGCTTTATTAATGATGCAGTATTATTCACAGTAGATGCTGATTGACTGTCTTGGCACTGAGAACACCAATGCCAAGAAAACAATAAAGAGACAAAAGCAAAGATGGAAAGAACATTGTCCTTTAAGACTAAAGCACTCTATGTGTTTTATCAAGGTTTCTTTGGAATGCTAGGCTTTGTCTCACATGGCCAACAAAAAGATGGGAAAAAAAAGATTGCTATTGTAAGAGAAATGAAGCTTCAGAACACTCACTATTGCAAAGTAGGCTACTTCCCCTCCCATACAGCAAAAGCAACACCACTTTGATAAACTAACAGAGTACTTTCAGCAGAACTACAGCTGGGAGTTAGTTAACAGTGCAATACATATCCCATTGCTGGCAATGGGATAAAGCATGGGAAAGCTGGTGACAGAACCAAACAACTACATAAGCCAGACCAAAAACTGAAAGCTTGCACCGTCTTTCAAATTAAAGGAAAACAATGGTTAGAAAAATGCACATGAAATAATCACACTGGATATATGTTTTTACTTTATGATGATCAGTGTAACACAGAGAAGCCAATATACGGGAAACAAACAGTCCAGTCAAATTTTAATATGGGGAAAGGGGTATTAATTTCAATTAAGAAACATGAAGTCACCATCACACTGTTATGTGATGGTACTTTCTCTTAAAATGGATTGTATAGCAGCTTGAAAAGTTACACTCCTTCCTCCAGCAAGTTGGGTAAGGAGGAGATTGGAATTATTTTAGTGTTAGACCAGTAACTTTACTTTAAAACACCTAACACTCAAAACATCTCCACGGCAAATGGTCTTTGTGATTCCAACTGACACAGTAATTTTAAAGAAACATTTAAATTATGGGCAAATATGGGATCAAAGGGGAAAAAAGCAAAAGTAAGTTAATTGCCAGAATATTTCTACCAGTAAAAGAAAACCACTGACAAGCAATTGTACACCAGACCACCACCAGGACACTCAATCAGCATTAAACAACTTGGTGTTCAATACAACTGCTTGGGATTCTTGCAGAAATGTCACCACTCAGGACAACGACAGAAAGGATGTTTTAAAATTTTAAAATATTACGATTTTTTAACATTATGAACAGGCAAAATGTTAATTCTTCATTTCTTAATTGATCCTGCAAAATTACAAAATACAAAGTAGATCAACCATTAAAAAAAAACCAAAACAAAAACAAAAACACAACAAACTACTGAAAGCACACCAGGCTGGTGGGTGGACAACCACGTTTGTCAGGGTGGTGATTTCTCTAGGCTATGTTCTAAACTGTGTACTGTACTTACCCCGTTCCACTCTACGCTCATACTCACTTCCTCGCCTCCGTCAGGGCCGCTCTCGTACTTTACCACGTCCACGTTGAGGCTCTCCCGGCTCCGCCTTTTCTCTATGCTCTCAGGGTCATTCAGCACTTCAGCAACTCTCTGTTTGTGAACATTGTCAAGACCCTGAGAATTAGATAAAACGGGAAGAGGCTTTATCTTATTATAAGCTGCATAAATCTACAACTTACACACTGCGAAAATCAGCACAGTGTGAAGGGCACGGACAGCCTGGTAGTTTGGGAATCCAGTGACCTGACATTCTTTTCCTATTTTCTTATCACTTCTCTAAGCCTCATGGCGTTTGTGTCACTTACCTAAAGCCATCTGGCCACCAGCTGAACATTTAAGCAATTTATAGGTCATGAACAGTCAATGCAACCCTTAGTTTTCCACCTATCAAATGGTGCAGCCCTCACTCACCTTTGGAAGGAGCGTTGCAGGTGTCTGAATACCTAAGAAGCAGGTTGTGTTATTTAAAAATACTGACATGTGGCAATTGGCACTGTAGTATAATTTTATCCTTCAAAAAGAAATAAAATAGCAAATAAGCTTATAATAAACAGACTATATATGTGGTCAATAAAATACCTTTACTTGGTGTTAAAGAATGCCTGTCAACTATCAAATAATACTTTAAAATATCTTAAAAGTGTTAAAATATCTCCTATGAAAATCCTGCACTAAAAATAAAGGTAAAATCTTTAACACAGAAACCACAAAATAGCAAAGCTCAAACCAAACTTATTTTCAGTTTTGTTTTCTTTACAGTAAACCTACTCCACCTCATAAAGAATATTTGCTGATAGGAAGAGAGCGGAATGCCTTACACTTGAGAACACATTCTGCATCTTTTACAGTACAGCATTAGCAGCAAACGCAGCAGGGATCTGTGTGACAAATCCATAAAGTCAACCACAATACAGAAAGTTAAAAGGATGTCAAAATTCTTAAAAGTGCATGAATAACAATGGAAGTTGTTTTAGTGGCACAGAGAAATTAGGTTCTTGGTTCCCATACTGTTTACTCCGAACTGAAGAGCTTTAACGGTCCATCCTAATGGAATTCTACACGCAAGGAAGCATGAAACCAACACATACTGATGGTGTATTTTCAATTCCCCGTGGGTGCAGGGTGCAGAAACTGGCTGCAGCTCTCAGACAGCAGAGAAGCAAAGGCTCACAAAGGCTTTTGCACCAATCCTTCAGCAGCACAGACCACAAAGTGTGTAAAACAGAGTCTAGGGCTGTTCCAAAGCTATCATCTCTCACTTATCTCACATGTGAAAAAACAAAATAATGAAGGGTCAGGAAACTGCAGCTTCTCAGTTTGTTCAGTTCTGTCATGAAAGACAAAGGACAAAGAACACTACTGGTCTTCAGAAGTCTAGCAGAGATATCGTTCCCAGCAGCTAAATCAAACAAAACTTGCATGAAGGAGAACAGATATGTGGAAAACTGATGCTTTTCCACACCTGGGAACAAAGGTACCTCTTTGCTTTTAGCCCAAAAGCAGAAATGCATTAACCCTGTTTTTCCTCCTTGAATGACCTAGAATAAAAAGGTAGTGTTAAATGCTGCCAGTAACACAGCATTGTTTCCTACATGTTTACTGTCATATATTATGGATTAATGGTATAGATGGTATATGATGCATAATGAAAATCTGAAGCTTGCTTAAAAATCACGAGGCAGTAACAAGTCACCAGCAGCCTCTAAGGAAAATGGGGACAAGGAAGAGTTTTTGCAGTGGTACTGACAAGCCAGGAGAGGGATGATTAAATAGAGACTCTAAAAAAGAGACTTTCTCCAATAGCAAGAGCCTTAATTCCCAAATAATCAATTCCATGCTTCCCAGTAAAAATTTGAACTCAAAAATCTGGTGCTCTGATTTTTGTTTTGTTTTTCTAATATAAAGAAGTAAACCAACATAACAACATGCTAAGTTTACTTCCAGGCTTCTTAATTACTATTATATTATGCCTATTTATCCTGGTTCTATCTGCTCACGCTAAAAAGTTATCTTGCATAGTGGCAACAATAAAACTAAGAACCAAAGCAAGTTACGTTAGGATGCAGTGCGTGTTCATTTCTTATTTTCAAATCATATTTCAATGAGACCCTCTGAAAATGGATCTTCAATAAAATGTGAAAATCATCTTCAGTAAAAGAAAGTATCGGTATCAACTGTTCTCCCCAACTCCTTGAATTTTCTTTGCTGAAGAACTTTTCTCCCAAATTTCTACTTTCTTCTTACCAGTTTCATTCCAGTTCTTCAGCAAACACTTGCAGGTTTCCCATTCTTTTTTATGGAAGAAAGAACTTAGGCCACCTTATATCAAAGGGAGTTGTTGCTGAATTCACTAAAAGAGCATGAGGTTTGCCAGGAACTTTTTTACTGTCTCCCTTTTCCAGACATCTATGTCTATATACATCAAACACCATAGTATCATTCTTTAAAAAACAACTTCAAATCACTTAAACCAACAAAACCCAGTAAGTTATCAATAAAGATATGGTCCATCGCCTAAGGCCACTCACTTCAATTTAAAAATTAAGTTTAGAATTCTACATGGACATACAAGAAATAAAAAAAAACACACAACAAAACAACACACTTCTGATAAAAATACAAGTCTTATTTGCCATTGTATAAAAACTGAAATTAAAACTGAACTCTCATCTTTTTTACTCATATTTTCTTACTTTGCTTTCCATTTTAACACCGACTGACAACATGTTTCTTTGTCCAGTCTCACACGCTTTTGTAAAAGACATTGTATCAAATCATCCAAAAGGGAAAGAAAAAACAAGCCAATAAAACTCCAACAAAAACAAACTCTTTTGTGCCTTCTAAGAGAAGGGAGAAAGGGTTACTTGAACAGTAGATTTGAGAGCACAAAGACAGAACAGGACTTCCCCACATTAAAAGAATGTCCTTGCTTATACTGTAATTTTATCACCAGTTCAGTCAGAGGTCAACACCAGGCACCAGACACTGAATAGCTCCAGGTTTATATATTCTGCAGGTATGACACTGAAGTCGAAAATCTGCATGACCACAACGCAGAAACGTCACTCAGGTGAATTTCCATACTTGCCTGTTTGCGAGATCTCATTGCTGCCTCTTCTAATGTTTCAGCAGCTTCAAATTTGCCCTGTCGTCTGTAAAGTGCTCCAAGGTTCTTTAAAGTAGTTGTTACTGTTGGACTATTTAAAGAAAAGAAAAAATAAGAAAAAGACTTGTGTATATACACACACACCCCTTCTCAGTTCACTAATAAAATCTTAAATTAAGATAGTACTTATCATATTTTTTTATAATCATTTATTGTCCCTCTTGAAATACACTCTACTGTACTTCATGTACATGGAATAACCTGCTGACCCCTTTCAAAGTGCATTAATGGCTCACACTGGGATTGGTCAACATCCCTGAAACTGGAGTGCTATGTCCTTGTGTTCCTCAGCTGCATCTCAAGGTGAAAGTTTAGCTCTAGAGGAGCGTGTCCAACTGAAGAATTGTGAAGCTTCCAGAAAACATGCTTATTCATGCATACAGTGACCATTACTCTAGCATGTGTTGGTCACAGAAGTAATTAACAGTTTCTTTTTCCAGCTCTTATTTAATACCTATTTGCAGCTTCTATGCATTCATACTGTGCTTGAATAACAAAAGAAAAAAGTTTGCCTGTTCCATTAACAGGTCTCACACTCCAACAAGACATTTTTGTTTCAATGGCACAAAATTAGCTCAGTCACAGTATTGTTGTGTGCAGTTTTGCTCCAGTGACAGCAGAGAAAAGATTTTCTCATGCATTAGAATGAACTAGTACATGAAAAACAAACCAACAAAACACACTGCACCCAGGATTCAGGATGGATAGAAAAGAGCAAATTTCAACAGTACAAAGGTTGTGATGCTTGTTAAACAGGAGAATTCAAACACTCAAGAAACTAAAAACCCTCACTGATAATCAGTACCAGTTGCAGGTTTTTTCACAATTGTACCACCTGCATGCTAAAAAAGTTGCAGTAATGGAACAAAATTAAAGCAAACAAAACATATTTCACCAAGTGTAATCCCAGTTGAAGTCCTTGTTTCTCTTGCTGTACTTTAAAGTACACAGTTTCATTAACACAACTATATTCCTCAAGCTTTAGAAACTCAAATAGCGCTTAACTGCAGCAGCTCAACTTTGCTTTCTTGTGCCAGCTAAGCAACTAAAGGCTCAGTTATTTACACAGACTCATTTTTGGCTCTCTTCAGAGGCCTTGATGGGGCAGAGAAGGCACGTAGGCCAACCAGCAGTACAGAACGAAGGAATGGTGACCTGTGCTGCCACATGAAGGACTGCCAAGGACACAACTGGGGCAATTTTATGTCACTTACTAGATCTAACCAGCCTAGATTAAAAACGGCCTCAGGACTTGAAAACTGCTACTGTGTTCCTGAAACCCAGCCCTGAGCACTGAATTTTTAATACTATAGTTTTTATAGTCCTAAGCAAGCAGCTGGTTTGGTTTAATTTTTAAACATGCTTTAATCTGTCATATTGGGTATTGCTGTGTTGTTTGTCCTGTTAAGAAGTCACCCACCTGTCAACTTTGCAAGCTTTGTACCAACCACCATATTCTCCAAAAGACGTGCCATCTTTTTGCTTCCCCTAGAAAAAAAGTATCGTTGAAGAAAAAGAACTGATTTTCAACTTAAAACAAGTAAAAGCTCCAAAAAAGATTTATGACAATAGTCTTACTTTGCACTCTTCCCTCTCTTCTGCATGCATCCAGATGGGCTTATTTTCGTCTGATGAAACAGAAGAAAGTATTTTATAGAACGACAAGACCACAAAGCATTCATTGTTTGATTTCTGAAATGAAGTTGTGAACCAAGGAACTATACTATTACCCCCATCAAAAAACTTACTGTCCATACTGCAAGTGGCAGATAAATAAAACATGCACCTCTTCTTTTACATTTTACAATTCTGTCGTCTTTTCTTATCTGAACTTAGAAACAGTTATTTTTGAGAAGCTTTGAAGTCAATATATACTGCCACCAATTTGTCATGTGCCTCGTTCTGTGCTAGAAAACATGCATTTATTTCTTTTATCATAACAACTCCTTTGACATCTACTAAGTGGTGTGTATGCTACTGTCATGCAATGCAGTGAAAATTCTTTTCTGCAATTTATAGTTGATAAAATGCAATAACTTCAATGTACAGTGTAATTCCCAATTTAAAGGTATTTTCCCCACTCTTTAAATGCACAAATGGAAGACTTGCCTTGACAATGTATTTATTTATATAATTAAAAATCCTGCATTGACATTTTCCTGTGACTGCAAAGTGACATATATTTTTCTGTGTCCATAAAAATACCAAAATTGGGTTTGGTTGGGCATAAGATAAAACATAATTCATAAATCATAAACTACCGAGTCTACCTCATGTAAGAAAATCTCTAGTTTTGAACCAAAAATTCCTGCTGCAGCTAAAAGCTTTCCTTTGATGAATGTACTTCAACCCATCTATGTCCGCTTTCAAGTCCACTTAAAGCAGACAACACTTTTAATCAGGGTACTTCTGACTTCCTGTGAATTTTATTTCAGAGTAACTACACAAATGAAACAAGGACTCAGTTTCTTACCATCTACAGAGCCAAACTCCCGTTCGTGGGCACGAGTAAGAATCTCTTTGTATAAAGTTTCTGCTTGCTTAAACTTGCCTTGTTTTAGGTAGCAGGATGCCTAAAAACAAAATACCCCCCCCAAAAGGTATCAGCACACTGCTTTATTCATCTGTATAAATAATAAATACAATACATGGTGAATAAAAGTGCATTTCAATTAATCAGAACGTTTTTCTCGTATTTGGTCTAGAAAAGGCCTACCAGATTGTTCTTCGTTTTTGCAACATTTGGATCATCCGGTCCCAGCTTAGTTTGGTAGATTTCAAGTGCCCTCTGATAGTAGTATTCAACCTCCTCATATTTACCCTGGTTCTGGCATAGTAAAGCCAAATTATTTAACTGTTTGGCAACATCGGGATGATCTTTTCCCAGGACCTGAAAATTAAATATACTGTATTAAAACATTCTCTAATCATCATATCAGGGCCTAGAAATAAATCATTTGGAAATACCCTGTTAGTTTTATTGCTCATCAGTTCAACAGGACGATGACAAAAACAAAAGTGGCATTTGAAAGGTATGAAAATTACTTCGCTCTATTAGAAACTGAGAATGCTGCAGAACAACCCGTAAGAGGAATAAAGTAAGCAGTAAAACTTACTTTAGTAGTAAAGGAAAATATTATACAAAGCCTGAAGATAACAGGCATTCAGTCTCATGGACTAAAATAAATGCCCACATTGTCAAGGAACAATCAAAAATTTTAATGATGTTTCATTTTTTAATTCCAATGCTCTTGTCAAATCAAAGACTATCTAGCCATGAAATGGGAAAGAAAAAGGTAAAGAAGGTTAATTACAAAATACAGAATTTAGTATGTACTCAGAGTGCTCCAACAACTCCGTAGCACTACCACAATTTCCTACTGTTTTGAATTTCAGACAGTGCTAACTACTAGGGAATTGCTAACTCTTGTGGTTTATCTGGCAAATCTACCCAACCATACACTAAAAAAAAAGTGTTTCATTTTACTTTGCCCTTTCCCTCAAAAAATCCATTCCAAGGTGCTGCATTTGGCACTCATACCTTTTCTCTGATTTCCAGAGCTCGCTTACAAAGTGGTTCAGCTTCTTTGTACTTTCCCCGTTTACCATAAAGTACTGCAAGGTTGTTTAGAGTTGCTGCCACCTGTCAACAGTAGAGAAATATTAATTACACTGAAATTTGCTGATACAACTACCTGAAAAATGAACACATCTGCAAGGCATTGATGTTTTCAAATTTTCCATGCACAGGGTAGATCTCTTGAAATTTGCAAATAAAGAAATAGTTATAATTAAAACACATACATACACAACAGAGGAAAGAAAAACACAAAATCGTGACATAAATTTGTTTCATTTTTGGAAATGTCACTTAGTGCACACATCTTCCTGACACCTTCTCTTGCAAAGGAACCTCTCCCATCTCACATCACCTCTCAGAGCTGCCCTGCTTCCCACGGGCTACAAGAAGCGAGGCATGACATGAATCTTACAAAAAGCTTGATTTACATTTCATTTACAAGCAGCAGTAAAACAAATCAGAAGCGCCCCTTCAATCTGACTATAACAGAGTGATTTGAGTAAGCAAATTAAAATCTTTCTTCACAAATTGATTTCCCATGCAATCCAAAATCAAGTATATGCAAGTCATTCACGGTGAAACAGCACTGAATATAACACTCAAAAGGTACGATAAATATTTAAGAGAAAACAAAGGATGGTACAGTGTGGCCTCCTACCTGTACTGTTTAAAGACAAGCCAGGTCTTAAAAAAAACTCTCCTGTTGAGTTTGATATTAGAATTAGTTGAAAAAAAAATTCAGTGACAAACATAACTAAATTTATGATAATGCATGTATACAAACCGCTGGATGATCTTTGCCCAAAGTCTTTTCACGGATAGCCAAGGCATCGTTCAGGAGATTTGCTGCATCTTTGTATTTGTTCTGGTCTCTGAATTTTAAAGAGACATAATCAATACTGGTGATTCAGACCAGAAAGTCATGAAAACTAAACTGACTTCACTATTGGCCTAAAGATGCTACTACAAAAGAGGAGTAACTGAGAATATAATCAGAAATCAGGAAGTAAAAACCTAAACCTGTAGCCTGTAGTAGTTTGCTGACTGGGGACTGTACTAAGCATGTATTATTTCTACATTGCTGTCCAATTTCTAGCTCTAGATTATCTCTAAGTGGGTAATCAAGACATGCCCACCCATACAAAAAAAGCATCAAATCCAGCTTCATTCCCAAAGCCAAGACACAGGCAAAAATACAGCAAGTTGTTTGATTTTTAAGTATAGGGAGACATGCAAATATTTCAGGACCCTATTGAGGGTTTTAATAATTAAACAAAAAAAAGGAAAATAAATTTAATGGAAAACAGAATAGTCAAAAAATGCTTGCTAGTCTGAACATCAAAAGGTTGTAGCCAAATGGTAAGTATTTACTGAACTGGTATTTATCTATGTCAGTATACAAACCTGTACACCAAAGCAAGTATGTTCAACATAGTGGCAACATCAGGATGGTCATGACCCGAAGTCTTCTCCAGATCTTCAAGAGCTTGTTTACAGAGAGGCACAGCAACCTCATATCTCCCTTGGGAAGCATACTGAATAACAAGATTATGAAGGGTCCGTAATCTTGCTGGAATTTCATAGCCACCTTGTTGGGCAGCAGCCGCTGCACTGCTGTGCTGCTGTTGAACTGAAAGAAATCAGCCATGTTTTAAGTTGGTTAAAAGATGACTGTAACTAAAATATCTTACTGCTCAATGACACAGTGAAGAATTTTATTTTTTCAATACACAGCATTAGTATTAGAGCATAACTCACAGCAGTCATGCTGTCCTGAACAGTGGCAGCACAAATATGACCATTTAATTCTTCATACTTGTAACGGGGTGAGTTCGAAGGATGCCGAGATTGAAAACCAAGACACCGCTGAAAGCTCAACAATAAACCCAATATTTATTACAAAGGTGGCCAAGTAAATGGGAACCCGACAGACAGGAACGGAGAGGAGTGAACTAAGCCCTCAGTGAAACCCCCACTCACGCAGGTGTGTTTTACGAGGCAGTCTTACCGACCCCAGGATAACCAGAATTCCCCATAGCAGAGGCTGCATCCTCGGAGGGTCAGCAGGCTTACAAGATAGTGGGCATCCCCACAAAGGCAACGTTGTCCTTCATGTGAAGCTTGAGAGCCCCGAGCAAGAGCCACCTGCATTTTTATCCAATTAGCCGGTGACGTCTCCCTGGGCTGGTGTGGCATCACTGCCCAGCCAGCAGCCCTCAGTCCCTCCCCTGTTATGTGAGTGTACCCCTTCAGTGCTGCGTGAGAACTTGGGGGTTCCCCTGTCGCATAGAATCATAGAATTAACTGGGTTGGAAGAGACCTCCGAGATGATCGTCAAGTCCAACCCTTGATCCAACCCCACTGTGATTACACAGATCATGGCACTCAGTGCCACATCCAGTCTCATCTTAAAAACCTCCAGGGATGGTGAATCCACCATCTCTCTGGGCAGGCCATTCCAGTGCCTGATCACTCTCTCTGTAAAGAACTTCTTTTTAATATCCAACCTAAACCTCCCCTGGCAGAGATTAAGCTTGTGCCCTCTTGTCCTCCTGCTGATTGCCTGGGAGAAGAGACCCACCCCCACCTGGCTACAATCTAGTCTCAGGTAGTTGCATGCACTGTTTCACTCAAGGGGTTTTATCTATTTAGGTCTGGGGGCTTTACTTCATCTTCTCCTCTTCAGTTTCTCCTTCAAATGTCCTCTACAGACAATGAGCCAATCACAGAGCACCAATTAAAACAGTTCATACAAGAAATTCTCCATATACGAAGCTCGCGTTTATCAGTGAACTTAGCAGGCAAAGAACAAAACTTCCACAGGTGGCTGGGCCAAACACAGACCAAAAAAATATCAACATTCCCCGATACAATATTCTTTCCAGTACTGTACTAATATTATTTTACAATTCTAAAGGGCCAAATGTAATAAACTGACGGAGAAAGGAGGAAACTCAGCTCATCAAACCATTAACAGTTCTCAAGATTATATCATGATTTTGCACTTACAAATATCAGTGTTTCCCCATGGAAAGGAACACTAATACAGGAAAGACGAATACTTGCAGACAAGCTCAAATGATTTGTCCTTTTTCCTTGATTCTCCTCTAAACATACAATTTTTTTTTTGTTTCCCTTTCTTTGCTTTGCCAAGGAGCACTTAAGTTTGGCACATAAAAGACTGAAACACCTTGGATGCCAGAAATAACAACTGCCAGAGAAAAAGGCAATGAGTCATCAAAGCCAGCCTTTAGGTTTTAACTTACTAACATCAGGCTTAGCCACTTATTTGCCAGGGGGGTCTTAACCTTCGGTTGTTGCAACCCTCACTCTCCCACTCCCTGAAAAATCTACTCCTCCTTTTCTCTTCACTTGAGATATTTCTGAGGAGATTTAGAAAATTCCTTTTAACTCATTTTCATTGAATTCTAGAGAACATACAGGATAAGGATTCTAGCCAAGAGTCTGACTTTCTCCTCTCCTTTCTATTACACAAAAAACACTCTCATGGCAAGTGGGAGCCTTTTAATGACAGTGGAATCACACAGTTCCAAGCTTATACCCACAATCACTGCCTACCAAAGCACCGAAGCAGTCCAGTATTTTTCTGGGAGGTCAGAGAGTCTTTGTCTTTTGTAAAGCAAAATAAGGGACATGACCATGCAGGTATATGGACAGTTTTGCTATTCACTTTTTCCTACTACAAAATTCTAGGGAAGGATAAGCTAAGGAGGGAGGTCATGATCACCACTAACCTATTGCAAACTCTTCAAGCTTTCCTTTCATTGCTGGCTATAGACAGCATTACCACACCATCCAAAATGCAGTGTACCTTGTGTGCAATGCCCATAAAGGAAATTTGAAACTCTGTGGATTGCAAAGGTGGGTCACTTCAGACCTTCTTCCTGAAGTCATTTGTCTACTAAGAACCATTCTGCTCCTAGCACACTGCACAGGCACTGCAATATCAATACGTTATATAATACCAGCTTTACACCCACACAAAAAGCACATTTTACTAAGCAAGGCTTATCTGCTAATAGCTTTTTTCAATCCCGCTACCAAGCCTCCACCTCAGACTCCACTCCATATTCCTCAGTCCTTCTGACCCGAAGATAAACAATACTCCCAGAATGAGTAGTAAAACTAAGGCAGACAAGCTCAGCAAAGGACAAAAGACTATATGAAAGAGACTTCATACAGAAACCTGCCATAAAAATCTTAAATCAGATTATTAAAAAGGTCATTAACAGAATTCACCTCAGTCAGTTGGAGCTAACCTTGTCCATTCTGAGACCCACAAGAAAGACCGTGGGAGGAATTTTGAACCTAAGTCAGTCTAAAGATCTTTACAACAGCTGCTAAACTCTCTTTAAGAACCTAGGTCCCATTTCTGTACACATTAATGTATATAACGTGGTTTCCTTATTCCAGGATAGGCATTCAGCCCTCCAGTTGCGTCCCAGAGGATCCCAAGCATGGATTCATTTTTGTAAAGAGCATCTTTATATTCTGCATTGCAGAAATACACCAACATTGTAATCTGAGGCGCACTTACTTCCTTGTCCTTGGTCATCCTCATCATTGGGAAACAAGTCATCCAAAGGCTCTTTGGTGGAATCCGTATCTTTATCCTCCTACAGAACAACCACAAACCCAACAAATTAAATCTAAGGCATAAAAGGACAATCCATTTAATCAGTAATGTTAAAGGAAAACTCCATATTCAGAACTTCAGAATTGACAAAAATAAAGTTTCTCACAGTTTTATAAAGGTCTTACATTCACATGTATTTACACACCCTGTCCCAAAGCAGTACAGGACACCTTCAGAAGAGCCAGGAATAGAAATCAGGTCTCCTAAATTTCAGTCTCAATTTAAGCACACAAGAACACATTTGCTGTTCTCACAGAGGCATGAGATCTAATGAAAGTACCCAGTGAAGAGTAAACACTGACAAATACAGAACTGACCATGGTACTTTTTTTAGCCATAGAGAGCAGTTACAGATGGGCAATGGAGAGGATTAGGGAGACCTCAATTTCTGGGTACTCAGCTTCTGCACAAATAACTGATTTTGCAATTGTGATCTGTAAGGTTCAAAAAATTTAAAAAACCCACTTGGAAGGAAGTTCATTTCCAATAGTCTCCATCTGGAATTATGTTAATTTCTGCACAGCCCATCAGTATATATTGATTTTAAATATCCAAGTGTATTTTACATAATTCCAAACATAAAACAGAGAAAGAAATCACCCCTCAATCCCATTTGTGGGATTGTGGAGTCTACACAATACAAATAGTTGAAGTTCTCAGAAATGTTAAGCTCAGTAAGGTGAAGACCCAGGAGCAGAACACAATCCTGTTTTTCTGGCTCTCCATCCAACACCTTTTTCCACAGAGGAGGAAAAGCCAACTGCTGCTGTTGGCATCCAAATTCAACGGTGGCAAAGAAGGTGCACTGCAAAAACAGCACATTGATGTGACTACATCTCAGATGGGAAATTCATAATTTTAAGTGTGCAGATTCCAACCTCATCCTGAGTCTATAGAACTGACTATTTCAAAGGCTAACAGCAGACACTGTCCATATGGTTAGTGATGATAAAGATGCTTTGCCTACTCTGACTCTTATTTGCCAATTAAACTTCAAATAATGGTGCTATTTAGGCCATCTGCAGATTACAGTTTGACAGTTAGCACATCAAAATCCCAATATTCCCTCCTCCTGCCACTTTTCTGAACAGGCTTCACTGGCACTATTCAGCTACAAACACCAAATCATGGAACTGAACTGAAAAGTTCTGCTTGCAGCCGACCAAAACAACTTTCACAACTTTCAATATGTTAAAAAGAATTAGTCAAGCAGTCAGTTAAGCATGACTAAACTGCGTATATTTTTAACCATTACATTGCTGAAATAATTAGTTATGAAAAACTGTTCCTTTCAAAACACAGTTGAGACGGTCTGAGCACAAAAAATGAAATCTTTCTCTACAGTGCCATCTAACCGAAGGAAGCAAAACAAAAACATTTTTAAAAGGGCAAATAAATCAGTTTTTTGGGGTTTTTTTTAAGTAATAAGCTGTAAATTAAAGTTGCCTCCAATTTCTCTCTGAGTCTACAGATATGTAACACAATGGGCTTGAAAATGTGTAGATGATCACAATGTCTGACAGGAGGACCTGAAAGGACTACTCTAGTGTAAATTCTCAACAGATGCAAAAGCTACACACTGATTTCACTGAACAAAAATTAAGTATTTTTCCTGCAGTCAAAATAGGTCAAGTCCCCAAGTTATTAAGGATCTTCCATAGCTTACATTCCCCACTTATTTTACCTGCTGAATTTATAGAAGTGAGATTTTGTGTTGGTTCAGTTCTTCGTATTTTTTAAGCTTACATGACAGTAAATGAGTATTTCTGGATTTTGGTCCTCATGTATTTTATTATCTACAGACAGTAAAATATATACTCTCTTAAAATTTAAAAGAACAAACTCTCAGAATCATTCTGCAAACTATGTGACACTGGTACAAGGTAAGAATTTTAATGACAAGTTTATGCTGAAGACAAAATGTACCTGTTACTTCCTGCTAAACAGGCAGATTACAACACATACGTAAATGTAAGGTGCTTTTTACTATACAGCTACTTACTGATGGTGAAATGTCATCGTCGTATTTTTTTAATTGATTCATGAACTCTAGATGTTTCTTTTCTTCCTCCAGCTGAGCCACAGACTGCTCACTTTTCTGTAGTTTCTGCTGTGTATTGGCTAGTTCATCCCGTAGCCACTGATTTTCCTGGCATAGCCGGCGAACCTGAGCACGCAGTTTCTGCTTCTCTGATTCCACTGCATTTAAGTGATTTGACAAGGCCATCATTACCTAAAAAGCAGAAGGTGTCACATGACTTACTTCTCCTAGAATCCAGTCCTGTATTTAACATAAAAGCCTTTTATTATTTAAACCTGTCAGCTGTGAAATCTTGGTAAACATTCACATTTCTCTTCTTTACAGATCTGTTCTCACTCTTCCTTTAAACTCTTTTACCAGTTAAAAATCACGGAATACTTTGGGTTGGAAATGACTTTGAAGATCATCTAGTTCCAATCTCCTGCCATAGGCAGGAACACCTGCCATTAGACCAGGCTGATCAAAGCTCTATCCAATCTGTCCTTTAACACTTCCAAGGATGCAGCACCCACAACTTCTCTGGGCAACCTGTTCCACTCCATGTCCTTGTAAAATTCCCTCTCCATAACTCCTGTAGCCCCTTCAAGTACTGGAAGTAGCTCTAAGGTGTCCCCAGAGACTTCTCTTCTCCAGGCTGAACAATCCCAGCTCTCTCAGCCTGCCTTGAGAGGAGAGGTGCTCCAGCCCTCTGAGTATCGTCATGGCCTCCTCTGGATTTGCACCAACAGGTCCGTGTCCTTCCTATGTTGGGGGTCCTAACCTTGTGGAAATTCTTATTAATGACTGTTTTCCATGCCGCTATCAGAAGTTAAAATTGTTTCAGAATTCCCTGAAAATTAAATACAATCCTAAAATATATGAAAAATTTGAACTAGATTACTCAACTGGAACTACTTGTTCCACTAACATGAAATGGAGCACTTTTAACTTGAAGGATCACAAAAATAACCTAAGAACTAACACAGAGTTCTAATTTAGCAGCTTCCAGGCAGAGGAGGAAATAATTTTTGTGCTTACAGTTCATAAGGATGAACACCTCAGCATAACAATGATACTTCAAAGGGACAGCTATACTACTGAGCTCTAGAAGCGCCAGTGATCACACAATGTATATAAGCACTTTATATTACTTATAAGCTTGAGTGTGCAGACATTCAAACCCAGTCATATTAAGGACAAAAATAGAACAGCCATAAAAGCAGCAGTCTGCTTGGATTGGGGCTTTTTTTGCTAAGCAAAGTTAAATGAAAAAGCAGCTTATTAAATGGAAGCCAAACGCTACCAGCAGAAGATATCATCCCCTCACTGTTTATGCAATCTCCCACTGGCATATGCAGAAGAGCTGACAGCCATCCCAGGAAGCACACCTTGGAAGAGTGGACCACTGGCGAGAATACAAATCTTTTAGATCAGTTTGATGTCCCCAAGTTACTAGTATTTCATCTCCTCAATTTCAGGCTTTTTTTAAAAACAAAGTTACCTTTAAGTGGTTTTAAACTAAGTATTTAATGTGAAACAGATGATGTCCTTAGTGCAAATTTCAAGTGTCAAAAAATTCATCAAGCCTTTAGAAACAACTTTTTCCTATACAGGTAAGAAAAACTCCAGCTATAATTTCCTAACACAAGTCCAAATCTCCAGGCTTCAGCACCCACGTATTTACATATTTACATATCCAGTCTTTTGAATTACTCGGTCTATTCAAACAGTGGCATTTGTAACATCAGACAGTACATTTAGGAAAGTTATGGTAATAAGGTCAACATACTAAAACACTAAACAAGCTACAATGGCAAACTAAAATCTTTTGTAATCTTACTCTCTAGAATTAACTGAAAGGAAAGTCTGATCACTTCTTCAGCAAAGTTAGTTTCATTTTCATGGAAATAACACTTACATCACCAGACCTACATGCATATCACAAAAAAAATCTATAACATATTTCCATTTCTCAATTTAAATAAACAACAACAAAAAATTACTACATTGTTACAACCCAGAGCTGCAGGAAGAGTAGCCTTATCAGGTCTTAGAGCAGTAGTCTGAAGTGTAATTGGTTTCCTAACAAAGGCAGCAAATGAAGACTTCTTGGCTCCTCACCACCACAGTCCACAAAGTACCAGATGAAGCAAACAAGGCAGGAACATCTGCAACTGAGGCTGCTGAATGTTCCAGAGCCAAGAATCAGAACCAAGCTTTTCAGAGTCCCAATCCCACATCAAAGTTAGGAGAGAGAAGTTTTTAATTCGCTCACAGATCTTCTACAAACAACCATTAAGGGTAACTCGACTATTGCAATTTTATTCCATGTATCTTCTGGTATTTCCTCCCAATACAAGGGATCAGAGCTTGTATAACATAATAAGGCCTGACAGTCTGTACCATAATGTCCAGGGCTTCTAAGTCCCCATGTCTGGTAACCCATATTTCATTCTCTCAGTCTCAATTCACCACGATCCAATGTACACAGCTTCCAGATCACCAAGCAATAATAGCTCAATCCAGATGAGAAGCCTGAGCACAGTTATAGACCAGTATAAAGCCTATACTCTACATTAATATAGCCTATTAATATTCTCTACTAATACAGAACCAACACATTGGCATTTTCAACTCCTTTGCCAACACTCTGCCATTTTACACTGGTGACTGTCACATCGCATCATTCCAGGTTTTTGCTCTAGTACAAAATACCCTAAAGTTGTACTGTAAACACAGTCCTGACAACCCAACTGAACATGCATCTTTTCACTCATTTTCTGCACGATACCTTCACTGACCAAGACAGTTCCCAGAAATTAGCTCAGAGTCTTTTCTCTAATGCACCAGGGAAAGTTGTCCAGATTCTGTACTCAATTCTTAACTTTTAAAATGTTTTAGATTCAATTCTGATTTAGTAAAATTTTAATAAGCTTAAGACTTAAGAGTCTTAAGCTCTAGGAGCAGCATGAGTTACTATAAAGAATCTTGGAATCAAGGGAATATAAACACAGAATTTAAGGTTATGCCACAGCTCACAGGTTGAAGTAAATTCATTTATATGTGTGGGACCTCCCTACGCAGTAATTTAGAGTTAACATCTAGAGCTGCTCGAACATTACCTGCCTAATGCTGTGGAAAAGTCCAAACAGAAAATATAAATGTCCCACTGACATGAAGAGGAGCTCAGTTAAGAGCTTCAGTGCTTTAACACTGAATGCACAATTAGTTCAGTAACACAGCAAGACAGACGGTAAATACCCCTTTTAATTAGGGCAGCCTTCCTTAACATACAAGAAAAATGTAAATGTCCCATCACATTACTTATAATACTCAGTAAGGCAAACGCAAATTCTCAAAGTCTGAAAAGCTCTATTTTTACTGCCATTTTACCTGTGCTTCACTAAGGCCAAGCTCCAGCATTTCCAGTGACTTTCGAATCATGTTTGATTTTTCTTCAACCAGATTAGTTTCGTCATCTTTCTTCAAACATTTCAGTGTTTCAAGTAAGCTCTGTAAAATTGAATTGTGTTCATTCTTCAGTGCCTCTAGTCCATTGATCACTTGCTTAGTTTTGGCAATGATTTCATCTTGAGTAAGCTTCTCCAACTTCTCTTCCTTTAAATACACCATTGTGGACATGTTTTCATACATTCTGAAACGGAAGAGTACAGTAGTTAATACAAAAGTAAAAATAAAATAAGTCATTCTCTCTAAATGAATAAAGTTTTCTTTTAAGAAGTCATTTAAACAAACAAATTTGAAATGTTATACTCAGAATGCAATGATATTTGTGCACAATTTTTACAATGATTTAAGTCCTAGGTTTGAACAGTGTTTCAAGTTTTACAGTTTCTACTTCCAGACTTAATATTAACACTCATTCACGAATCAGACAACACCACATAATAAAATGCAGACTACAGCATGGCAGAAGAATTTCTAACAAGCACTGAACAACAGGGCTGCACCTCCAGGATTCTTGTTTGTGGAAGAACTGGTACAAAAGTAGCTGGTGTATAAAATATACACTTTAATAAATACAGCTATTTGCAGATGCTGCTGATCTACAACTCTAAAAATAACCACAAAATAGAGCTTGAAGAATTCGAAGAAATACCATCCAGCCCTCTAAAAGGGTTGATCAATCAATTATGAGAAAAAAGTTATCCTTTTCCAGTAAAAAGGAAACAACCTCTTCATCCTTTCCTAAGGCTACAAAAACTGTTATGACTACATGTTTTCCCTCCAAGACTATTTTACACTCATTATTGTAACTCTACAGTTACACACAGACATTCAGCTGCCCCCAGGTCTAGATGCAGCTGTTTTGATCGAGATGCAACAGCTGTCTCATGCTGGAAAAAGTAGTTTGTGTAACACAACCCTTGCGAGAAACATTTCACTGTGCTATTTTGTCAGTACCTTTTGCCCTACATTAAGGATAGCAAATTTCTGAATGTTTGTCAACATCTCTACCAAATGCAAATGAAGATCCAAAAAAGTTTAGAAACTCAGGTAACTTAGCATGCACGCTGTTACTGAAGGGACAAACAAGTACAACAATGTAAAAATGCAAAGAGAAGACAGGTAAATAATTTGACCTTTTTTAAATGTCATCAGAAAAATGTTCTATAATGAAAATAAAGAGAACAGAGAACTGAGAAATTACTCCTTTACACTTTATGTACTTGTATCTCTGAGTGAACTAGGAAGTATAAATTAGAATGAAATAGGAAAGATTTTCAAGAGCATTAAATTATCACATCTATGCGAAGACACTTGGGGACTGATAAACTAACATTTAATATTAGTTAAACTGTATTAAAACTGAAAAGAGTCTAGTTTTGGAATAAAAAAAATTACATCCATTTAAATATTGAATTAAAACTGCTATAAGGAACATGCATATATGCACATCATGACAACAGCCAGAGGATGTCCTCTTATGCACTTGTATTACATTAAAAATAAAAGACTGTTCCTTCTGTTTATATGTACTCAAATTACCCTCTCTGCTCTGATCTCCTGCAATGCAATACCCAAAAGGTACACACCCCTTTGTCCCAGAAAGAAAAATCTGTACAAGACACTGGTTTATTTTGTAATAATCTACTGTCTCTAAACACAGTTAATTTGGGAAAGCAGTGAATTTTGTTTTACCCCAGTTGAATACAAGAACTTCATATTCACATGTAAATGAATATGGAGCATGTAAATCTGCATAAACCAGCTAATCTAGCATGACAGAAGAAATTAACTCATGAAAACCTGATGAGGAGAATGATTTTTACACATTTCCCATTTATAACCTGAGAACTATTACCACAACGCTTAAAAGACAGATTTTAAGCACATACTCTCTAGAGCTGTGTAGAAAAATTAACTGCAATTTAATGTGGGCCAAATTTGTAAATAAATGCTTTTAACACCCACAATCATATAAGAAATTGTTATTGATTGTGTTAACTTCAGCATACAGCTCAACTTTAATTACCTTTGGTAATTTCCCACCTGAATGCAAAGAACCAAACTTTTGATTACAAGGAAATAAAACCAACAGAGAACATCTACTGAAGTGACTATCTGTGTGTACCCCGTGAACAACTCCTGCATGCCTCAGTATATTATGTCATTCTACAGCAAAGATAAAAAGCAAGTGTGTCCATGTATAGTTATTATGCATGTACATACGCTGTTTTTAAAAAAATTACATATTTTAAACACCAGAGTAGAAATAAAATGAATTTTAAGCAGTGAATACCAATAAATTAGCACCCACTCACTGTTACACAAAACCCAGAAACTAATGCCAAGAATTACATTAGGCCTTGTGATGGCCATATATTCATAAAGAAAGAATGAAATAGCCTGAAAAGTAAACACCTGTGTGACATATGAAATCCAGCCAAAACATACATCTGTGTGCACAGTTACAGCTAAGACATGAAATCAGGACACTGATTTGTTACTGTAAGGAAAAAAAGGTTGTCAGATCAGGTCCACAGCCCTGGCTAAATACACTGAAGCGGCGATTAAGGAAGGCTAAGCAGCACAGCAGCTTTTGAAGAGAGGAAACCCCATGGGGCAAAAATATACTTAAAAGCATCCCAGCAGCAGACCTGCTTTACTAATATGTGCTAAGTCTGGTGTGCCAGATTTTTTTAGCCACCTCATTCCAAACCAAATGCAGCTGAAAGCTTCCTCTGCCTCAGCAAACCACGCTGGAGCTGGAGTCAAGTCAAGAGCTGCATCAAGACACAGACTGACCTGAAGGTCCATCCAGCCTGGAGAACGATTTTTAAGTCTCCTCTGCTTAAAACTGTTAAAATCCCAATCTCTTCTGCTGACAGGGATACATCTTTCGGCATAGGTTTTGTAGGGTGTCTGTTTAAATGACCTCCGCATAAAACACCACAGAAAATTTGGACATTGCTGTTCAGAGTTTCACAGATTGTGTTTGGGAGAATAATTTAGAAAACAGGAGGATAACAAACATGTTATTTGTCATGCTATCAGATCTGATTCTTTGTAGGAGTAAAATGAATAAATATCCTTTAGGAGTAGCATGAAGGTGTGATGGTATTTCCATTATTTTTTACATATATTTTACAAAAGATAATTCCCTATTCATGAAGCAGCATATGTTAATACATAACCATACTACTAGATTTGCATACCCCGAGGTAGCAAACCCCATAAAGGAAGACAACAAATTTAAGTTTGTATGTAGGATGTATACAGAGGAAAAGAGAAAAAATGTACCCCTGCCTTCCCACTGTTACTTTTCAAAAAATGTTAACTCTTTCTTCCTATACTTTTTCCCTAGAGAAGAAAAAGGGCATAGACAAAGGCTTCTTAAGCTCCTGTCAGTTTTACCCTGGCACTGAAAATTTTACCTGTTATAAGGCAGGAATTACAGATTAAAATACTATTTTTTAACTCAGTGTACAATTGAAAACAAAACAAAGAATTAAGATGCAGAAAGGTTCATTTGGGAAACAGAATTTTGGATGACAAAAAAACGTAAAGCAGCCAGAGTTAAAAACTCGCCTGCTGGCTTAAGAAATTTACATCTCTAACTAAGTATGTGCCTAGGTAAATCTTGAGTATTACCTTCCTTGTTTGTTTTCGACAACATAGACTTTACTGAAGTACAAAAGTAACTTAGTGCTTCCCAACACTTTTTTTTTTTTTTAAATCAACCAACCTTATTAAACCACATAAAAATTAATTAACTTTGACAGATCAACATAAAAAGCCCTGCAATGACACCTACTAAAGAAGTTTCCACAAAACGTTGCAACATAAACTCAAATCAAAGAAATGGATTGAGAACAGCAAGAATATGAACCAAAGAAAGCACAAAGGAAGCAGAGTCAAGCCTCCTGTCTTTCAGTCGTGTAACCAGTGGGATAATCCCATCATATACAAACGACTTAAGTGGCTGTTATCTCTAATCAGTTTAAGTATTTTGTTATTCATAAAACTTTAATAACGACTGCACATCAAATGCTGACATCACAATTTGTGCCTAAATTCTCCTGCGGACATACGCACATCATAACTAGCTACTTAAGCTCTCCAACTCATATTTAAGGATCTCTTAAATATAAATAGGTTTTCCTACTCAGCTACTTTTAAAGAAGTGTCATTTTCCTGTAGATCACCTCAAAATATTCAAACATATGAATCCCTCTTTGCGTAGGAAAACTTATCAAGGAAGAATTTTATTCTAAAAAATCTATAAGATTTTTTTTCCTTGTCTAAAGATTAGTACAGATCCTAAAGAAAAATAAACAAAACCATTCCAGTTGTTGGTTCTCTTTTTTTTTCCTTGTGATGAACCCTAAGGATTCCCTCTCTCTGTATTGATATTTTCATTATTTAATAGGTTTCAAGTACTAAAAGCTTGGGAAATAAATTTTTAATTTATCTAGTGTCTGATCATTATTACTTCAAAACACAATTTAAAATAAATAAATTTCAAACCCCTTAAAGTCTAAACTGCTGTGTCAAGCTAAATTCTCCCTAGACTTCTTCCTCTGAATATACAGTTAGCAAGCAGTATAGCTGAGAATTACAGAATAATGTGTTTGCATAAAAGAAAGAGTAAATCATCTTCCTAGCAGTAAAAGCTGCTACAAGACTCTGTCTCCAGCCATGCCGGTCATCTACATGCACTGTAAATTCCACACAGTTACAGTATATACTAATTTGAGCTTTTTGTATCTCTAATATGTACCTATCAGGTCTCTGTTTTGTAACAATAATCAGTCTTTTCAGGGCTTTTAACCCTAATTTCACTCTTATTTTCCCTTAATTAAATGGCAAGGCTCAGCGCCCTACATCTGCCATGTGCTTGCTTCAATTCTGTATGAGCTGCAAATTACAAATCATTAATTCCCCGCTCAGAACAAGAACACGTCTCATTACATCATGGAACGCACCATCTTCAAATACTGCGGAGCTGCTTCAACTAGTAATCTTCATAATGTGGAAAACTGCCTTCTCAAACAATCCTCAAAACATCACAGGCCTTGCAAGCACAACAAGAAAATCACCAACAAAGGCAAGAGATGAAAAACAGTCTGTGGAGGGACTGAGTCGTGTGTCAAACACTGCATTAACTGCACTCTTCCCTAAAGCAACCCAGCCAAACGCAGAAATGACAAGGATGAATCACCCTCGGATTCCTTTCAAACACTTAGAAAGGTGTTTGTCAAAGGACTCGGATAACAAGCACTCTGGTTTGAACATATTTCTGTTATCGTTTACAGTCAGGAATCTCCAAGTCTGAGGGAGCAATGATCACTTTCATTTTTTTTTAATATAAGATGTTAATTTCTCTTTCTCTGTGAGCCTATTTCTGCCATCCCAAGTCACACTCCCATACATAAGGAAATTTATAATCTTTCTCTTTTTTGTTTGATTTGCCTTTATTTTATTCCAATACATTACCTCTAACCCCCCAAAAGAATCAAAGAAGTTTTTTCCTCTTGACATATTCAGGACTGTAGCTTTACTGCCAGTCCTATCCATCCATCCATCACTCTTTGCATCATCTATATTTGAATTGACATAGAATAGAAAATCTGGAACTGCAAACAGCGTCCTGATGGAGGTCAGACTGAAGGCACACTCGCTGACCCAGTTCTATAAAGAGAATACTGCTGCACTTCTGCACTGCCTCAGGTTTCCAAGTATGTGATCTCAGAAAGCACCTTCACAGTTTAGCACTCAGGTAACACACGCTACATTAAAAACCACTCGGTGAGGACGATTAGCAACACATACTGGAGGCTGTGAATCACTGACCAGAAGCAGGTGAGAAGACGGAGCTGCACATGACTACCAACCAACATGAAGCTACACAGCAATGGCCCCTCTACCAAGGGGAGTCACTTTTCTGTGCCAACATCCTGCTAATAAGTATCTGAATTTTAAAAAAATCTTACCATGTTCCCTCTGTCAGCCTTCAACTTGGAGCTAACACTGAACGCAGAAGTCTGACCCACTACTTGGTTTAAAAAGAAAGTATGCAAGGTAAATACTACAACAGGGTCATCTGTGGTCCTTTCATGTCAAGGGCACGTATGCCAGGAAAAGCTCAGAATCACATTCATAATCTGACCTATAACCCTTACCACCATAAGATGTTTGTGCTGGTAGGCAAACTGGACATTCATATATTGCAAAGTTTTAGCATTTTAAAGTTAAGTCCACCAATTTCTGAAGAAACACCCAATATGCAGAGGCCAGTCTGACTAAAAAGGGTAAAACACCAGAAAACTTGAATACAGGCAGAGATTTCCTCCAGACTAACAGGGGTGTTGCTTTTCTGTCAAGACTGCCAGCAGCAGCCTACTCTCCACATGGCATCAGTGGGAAGAGGCTGCACCACAACATCATCCATCTCCGAAAGAACACTATGCCAGGCTCTGGGAAACCCCAATGGTTATCAATAAGCCCATGCACTGCATTAAACTATGTTTAAGTGAAGAGGATTATGTACTTGTTTAGCTGAAGAACATAAGCCACTGTGCATCTACCTTGATAAATCTCAGAATCTTCTAATGTTGGAGTCTGTCAGAAAAAAAAAAAATTCATATGTTTCAGGGGACATCTTGAGATTCTTTGGAAGATGAAAATATTATTAAGGAGAAAAGCAGGCTAACAAACTATATTTGCTAAGGAAAGAGATGATAGCAAAAATAGCTACAATAAAACCCTTAGCAAGGGTGATGTTGACAATTCCCTTTAAGAAAGCACAAGCTAAGATTTGCACTGCTGAGAAAGTACAAGCTATGAAGATTTGCTCTGCTGCAGAGTCCCTTCATTTAGATTTCTATAGCATGCTCCTTCAACACTAATGATGCATATACTGTTCCTTAGCAATCATACTTGCATTCTTATAGGTAAAAAACTTAACACTATTTTGACATTAATACTTTCGCACATTTCAAGCATAACTGATAAAACCCCTCGAGAATAATTTCAGCCCTCAGCCTGCCTTCTTTTGTAGCAAACTATTTTCATAAAATTACTTCCTGCTGAAATGGTTAATTCAGAAAAAAATCCTCACACAGTATTAAAGTAGTCAGTGACATAAAAGCATTCCGTAACTACACAGATTATTCCTCCTCTTAAAGAAAAGATTATGGTGTCAATCCCTTGACAGTACTGCACTGAATAAACACTAGCTACTAGCTGGCATTTCAATTATCATGATACAGCAAATCTGTATCCTTTTAACTGCAGACAATCCAGATGACCGGGCAATCTATTTCCAAAATCTCTTTTAGATTAAAGCATATCTGGAATTCCATAATGCTGCAAGCCAAATCCCACCTTGCTCTTCCTGCTCACGTACTGCAGCAGACAGAGACCCGCCCATGATGTGACTACCCCACTATTTGTGTAAAACAATCAAGGAGAGTCTTTCTGGCACAGCCCACCAGCTACATTTTACCTTTCTGAAGGCCTAAAAAACAGACAGTTACTAAAATACAAAATAGTAACATCTCCTAGATTCTCTTTTCTCTGAAAGGTGTCACCTGTTTAGATCCTACAATCAGTTCACATCGTATCATAAGCAAGTAAAAACAAAAAAAATTTATTCTCTGTATACATTCTAACCCTTCTGTATACATTCTAAGCCCTTCTAACATCTCAGGTTTCAAATGAAGTTGGGTGTATATTAAGATCCTTCTATGCATTTGTTGTCACATCAAAGATTACTCTTCCTCAAAGCTGAAGCAAGCACAAAAGAAATCTGACAGGCGTGTGTGTGTCTAAGGCAGTTTAGTAGAAACAGTCAGGAGTCCAGAGGAACTGCACTAAAAGCCACACTTTCAAGAAGGTACACCTGATTAACTCTTTCGTTAATTGAAGTAACTATCATCTCTTACAGGCTGGTGGTACATAACTTCCTGGCTCAAAATCTGAAAAAAGATACCTACCCCTCAGACCTGTGGCAAGATCTTTGCTGGAGTTATAAAACACAAACCTCTTTCACTGTTTGGTAGTGTTGGGAAAAGACCTCTACTGCTGATTTTTAAAATTTTAGTTATGTCCATGCAACCTCTGAACATGCACAGGCTGCAAATCGCAAGGTCTCTGAGCCCTTGGAGCAAGGGAGTTGCCTCCTTTCTGTACCACTGCTGTGTCAACAGCAAACAGCGCCTGTTGGGCTCCCTCAAAGCAAGCACTTCCTTAGTGAGGACAAATAAACACTTCCAAGCTGCCACCAATGGACCTCAAGAAAGCAGAGCTTTCTGCCTTCCCTAAAACGCTGACAACATACCAGTCTGGGCCACAGAGGATTTGCCTTCTGCTTATGACAAAAACGCCCACACCTCACTGGGCCATTCTAACAAAATGACCATGACTGTATTAAGAGTAGTTACATAAAAACAGAATAAACGTATTTAAATGCATCAGAAGGTAGAAGCTTAAACACTTAAAAAGCAATTACATTTACCCTTAGTTATTTAAAAACTTGTCATAAGAATCAAACACATCAGGAGAAATCAAGGCTAATTGTTCAAAATATTGTATTGTAGTTTAGTATTTTGTAGTTACAAAGACATGCTTCATAAATTATGTACATTAAGGGGATTGAAGGGAAATTCTGTATTTTTAAATACATACTGTCAAGACAGTTTGTGTTACAAATCCATCATCACTATCAAATTCCACAGTTTCTCCCTCAATATTCCATGAATCTACATTTATTTCTGTGGGAAAATGGCACTTGGCTCTTCATGGACTTGCCAACTCATGCAACCAACTTCAGTGAATCCTGCTAAGTGTCTTGGTAAGACGGATTCTAGCTCGTGAGAGAGTCTGACTGAGCCTGGGATAGAGGAGTACAGTAAAACCAAAAGTGTTTTCAAAGCTATTTTTCTTGGAATTTCAAGCTGTCAGTAGTATACACAAAACAGTTTTTGAGCTCGCCTCTAGTTCTTTCATTTTGCAGAGTTATTTTTGGACAAGAACTGCTTTATTGACCAATGAAAGTAAGCATCCATTTACGTTATCTATTTATCTAAGCTCTAAATAGCACTTAGGTAAAAGCACAGGAATGTTCCCATCAAATCAGACTTCCATAACACATTAAAAACTCCATCAGCTACCACTTACTAACATCAGATCTATAATCTTAACCAAATCTACTTTTTATAGCATACCTAAAAACACCTAAAAAATGCATTCAGGAAGGGCAGGGAGGGCCACATCTTGTCTCATATCATTGGAATTATGTGGGAAACTTTGCTGACAATTTACTCTGAGTACAGATTACGTTGCTTTTACACGCTTGAGGACATCAAAGAGAAGGGTTATTTGAACTGAAACAAGAAAACCAGCAATTTCTTCTGCAGACATAAAAGGAACATTCACTAACATTGTTTCAGCACACACTAGTCTTTAGGTTGAACAAGTCCTTAAATCTGGTTTTGAAGCTATCTAATAGTTTACACTTTAAGATGCACAAATTGTGCAGGGTCTTCCTTCAAGCTTTAGGAAGAACAGCCTCCTCCTGCTTATCCTTCTATTAAAAAAAAAAGAAATACAAAACCACTAACCTAATTCTTACAAAATTACTACAGAAAAAGTTTCACAATTAAATTGTTCTAGCATTAATATTAAGAGGAAATGAATGCTATCCCATTAAATATATCAAATTGATACTTTTGATGGCAATCACCAATTATCAGACTCTTTTTTTTTATACCTTACATACTTAATTTCATAGAAATCATAGCTAATGATGCAATCATTTAGAAAAAGAACCTCGTATCACTCACTATTTCTTACCTACTACTGCAGAGAGCTGATTTAGCTGTGGGGTTGGAAATAATTTCCTTTTAAGTACTGCATAATCTTCAGGGCTTACTCAGATGGTCTGAACTCTACTGAGCCAGGACGTACAGCAAGCCCTTACCCAGCATTTAACACATGTGCCTTGTGTGCACTCACACCTGAGGACCAAACCACAATTCCAGCCCCCTTTCCAGTGATCTTTCACATTCACGATTTATCTTCGCTAGTGCTGGGCACTGGGTGACCCTTTGGGACTTGTGAAATCCTCGCTGTGGTAACACCACTACTGTGGCAGTTCCCAACACCCTGCTGCAGCACAACACTCTTCTGGTGGACTGACACAGAACAAGAGCACACACTAACTGGAAAATAAACACAAAAGAAGTTTCAAGTTACATTTTTGTGTTATTTCTTAAACCATCTCGCTTGGATAAAGGGGTTTTGAAAGCATCCTCCTCCGAAGGGTGGCAGAACAGTGGCTTCCTAAAACAGCTGTGCCATTAAAAGCACCATATCATGTGCTGGCAAGTATTGCTTCGTGTGCAGCCAGACTACAGGCTGAGAGAAAAAAAAAAGGAAAAGAAAATAGAGTCAGCAAGCATATTTTCAGGTCATTTGTTATCGTAACAAATGGGTGGGGATCAAAACTCAATGGCCACACAAACTACCAGCAGTCACTGTAATTCAAACCCCACTGGCTGCTGCTTTCAAAACTGTGCTGTGCATCTTTGCTCCCCACCTGCATTCTGCATATACTCCAACCTCAAGAAATTTTTTCTTAAGTTAAATGATTTATTTTAACAACAATAATTTTAAGTGTGTGTTAGAATCAACATGCAGGATGTAATCTTTACTTAAATTACTTAAAAGTACTGGGAGAGAAATTGATACTAACTGAATAAAAATATTTAAAAGCAGAGTAATTGATTCATTAATCTGCCTTTATCTCTTT